AACTCTGATATTATAGGGTCTACGTGCAGCGTGCTTTGTGGGTAGGGCTTATTATCACAGATATGTACAATGTATTTGTGATGCAGTCTGGTGGAAAGCTAGACTCGGGACACTAGACTGGTGACGTCGTAGTCAGAACTTAATACACATATTCCTTGCCAATTTCACCGTGAGGTGCGATAAGCGGAACCAAAATTTCGCCCGTGGCATAAGGAACGACGGTCCGGGTACTAGCGTCTTTACGCAGGGCGTGCATATAAATTTGTCAAAGTGTTTATCGCAATATTGACGATATGTATTCCACCCCCAGAATCACCCCCACTCACACGGGTCACAATAACCCCTACCCTTCTGTCGGTCAGCCCACCATATGCCAGGGATGTCCGATGGAAATGACTGACCACCGTGGCTCAACTGCCGGCTGGTTTGCCGCAGGGTAGGGGTGGGTTGGGGGAGGGCTGTTAATGTGAACGTTGTTTTTGGTGACCCCTGGTACTGGTGGTGATGGCCACGTGTGCACTTGCAGGCCTCCGCTGATATCTTAAATTCATTCTAGAATTAATTTTCCGCTTGTGTGAGCATTTCATCGAAAACATAAAATAGTGAACAATATTAATAACACCCCTGCAAGTGATGAATAATACGAAATTGGAAGTTCTCATTTGGTTAATGAACAACTTAATATACAAATACAGTGGAGCCAAATTGAAGTAAGTGCATATGTCAGCATCTCAAACGAGTCATTCAAAATCTGACTGCCTTTGATCAGAAAACTGCAACTCTAAATTTTAGTCTAGGGGATCCCTCAAGATTGTCAGAGTCGCCCAACCCATGATACTAGTCCCCGCTAACTAACTAAAGTCTTTCTGCAATAAGAAATATAAAATAGCTACTTCTCAGAAGGAAGTCTCCATCCCACTTCTAACACCACTTTATGTAGAATTGAACTTTGTGATTTTAAGCTTTAACCAACTGATATATTTTCTCGCAGCATTGTTCCGCATCATTGATAGAATCTAGTACTGACCCAGCAACAGTGCGAAGTATACTACTGAGAAAAGCCGCGTGTGTCACACAATGAAACAAAGACACTCCCGAAGCTAAATCACGTCAACATCACTTTTGATTCAAAATCAGATTAGGCTGTCGTGGAGATAAAGGAAGGTTGATCCGGATTAGCGCGTATCGGGTAGGTCGTCTCGGCCGTGTGGCCCACTTTCGGGTTTGAAATGTCATACTTTTCACCGTGTGTACGCGTGGCATCCCTTATAGAAGTCAGACTTTTTTTTCAAGATGTTTGGGGTTCTTTTCCAAGAGCAGAAGCCTGTTTAGTGCTTATTTCTAACTGTTTTTGTAACTTCGTGGCTTCAACTTTGCTTAACCAACTCAAGAATTTGCAGTAACCGTTAAACAGTATGTCCACTCAGTGAAAAATTCTGCAAAAAAGTGTTACCTGTTTTGGGAAAACTGCATAGTTTGTCCTATTACATTAAAACATTTACAAGGGCATAGGCCTACTTTGTTTTGAATTTTGGTAATCACTTAATCGGGTTGGCTACTGGCATTGTTAATGAGATGTACATGAAATTCCATAGTCGTCTACCGTGTAAATTACTGGCCATGAACACCACAATGACTTACTTGTGTTTCGTTCTTTTGGGAGTGACCTTTTATATCGTTAATATTTCCTTAATGGAGACGAGAATGGTAAAACAGCAACATCGCGGTGGATTCATGCTTGGTATGTTGTTCACATCAGCATCCGATTCACTGAACCATCTAACCAAGCACGAAGGTGGAGCGCGTGATACAGTTGTTTTCATGAAGACAGACGAGCAAATTGGAGTTGTCCATCTCTCTCTTTCTCCTTGTGACTTGTTTTATTTACGTGGCAATTCAAACCCAATTCCCAGCTGAACTTCCAATGACGCAGGGCCTTGATGGATGGCTAGCTTGGCCATTGTTCTCCCATCACGAGCCTCCCCCGCCGAGTGTCAACATGAAAAGCCCCATCCATCCATTGTTTTCGGGTCCACTCCCTGGCCAATTAATAGAAATACTTCCATTTGTATTCACTCAGCCAAACAATGCAACCGCTGACCACCAACTTTACTGAAAATGGACTTTCTAGGTCGTGGGGTTCTTGCCCCTTGCTGTTACGTCACCTGGCCCCTGAGAGGTACACTTCGCGGTCCCCTGTGTAAATTTGCCTTTTCTGGTTTTTTTTTGTCCGATGGCTTCAGAGATGCGTCGCCTCACAACGTGTTTCCTTGTGCACTCTGTGTTTCCGGGATGGTTCTTGCATGTGATCAATCAGCTTTTCCTTTTAACCCAAGGAACTTTCAAAATGCTTCAAATTTTAGGGTCGTGTTTTCAGTGTTTCATGAAATCAAGAAGAAAAAATTATCAATAAAAGCAGGACAACAAAGCCCGAAAAGGAACGTAAAGTTTTAATTCACTTAACTTTCTATTTTTCCTGACTTTTGTGCATCTCTTTCAGAGAAAACGTCGTGGATCATTAGTTAATTCTGTAACAACTTTCACTTAGCTGTTGATCAATTTAAATATTTGAGTGTTCACATATAGGAATGTTGGTTGAAGGGTGAGTGTATTATTTTCTCTGAGGTAACAATTCGACCTCGTGTAATATAATATGTATATAAAAAAGTATGTTTTGTGCCATGTCGATTTATTACAGATATAGCTCAAGTTGATATCACAAACATGATAAATGAATCTTGTCGAAGTAGAATTTACGAAACAAATACACCCTGCAAGAATGAGGTTTAATTACTCTGTTGATAATTTGTAATCCTTTAAGACTGGAGGAAAGGGGAAAGAAAACAGATTGGAATTCTTTTGATAGTGATTCATCTTTTTCCAATCTGTGGAGAGTACTGGGAGTTAGACCGTAGCGTAATCCCTCCAGCGACCTGATGGGTATGGTAGGTCCAGTCCACGGTTGAGGCAGCCCGGCTGCCAACACAGCCCCTCAGACCCACGGAATTCGTAATGTAATTAATGTAATTAAAGTACATCATTGTCGCAGTTCACTCCTATAATCTTTTCCAAAAGCAAGAGAGGTAATCGAAGCAGAGAGTGTGCTTGTGCGTTGGTTTAATTTCCAAGCAATCACGTTAATAACCTTATTATTTCCCGCGCGGCAATCTTCCCCCTTTTCCAAGGACCAAATCGGAGAGCGTGAATGCAGTCATTGACGCGTGTGCAATAGGCCGTCCATACGAGAAAGAAAACTTCGCGGCCTGTACGTCTCTGAACCGATACATCATGCCTATGGTGAAGTCCTGTATTGTGTTGTCTGCCATAACAGCTGGTGAAGCCCGTGGTTAGGGCAGTCTTTACTGTATGCCATACAAACGCCTACACGGCGTGGAGAAAAACTTTCCAACACAACTCTCAGTCCTTTGTGTCCATCATTCTCAAACAGGTGTTCAGCTATGTCGATGACAAATAGCAAAAATGGCATTGTCCGTTGATTGTTATATTTCTTTACAGTTTCCCCTTCATTTGAAACAAAACCAGGTGTTGTATCGATTATCGATTGGGAGGCTTGTCTGCAAAGTCGGGTGCCTATACCTACTGGGGGATACCTTGAGCATAATGTACATTGTAACGCGGTGTTATGAAGTCCGGACGACAGGTCGCCCTGCGGCCATGGCCGCGTCCTTTGCTCCCATTAAGTCTTAAACTCCTCACAATCCTTGGGATAAAGCTAAACCGATCCCTCCAAAATCTCTGGGCAAACTGATAGGTGTCTAAGTATTCCACAGGGCGTGAAAATTCATTGAGGATATGTTTAAATCATTCAGGGATTATCTCTGCTTAGTTAACAACTGTTGCAGCTGAAACACAGCTCGAGTCGGGTATAATCCCGGCAGATTACCACAGGTTGGTACGACCTATAAAGTCACCGGTACCCGTGTTTAATGCTCACCGTTTTGTTTTGTTTTGTTTTTTGGGGTTTTTTTGCATTTAGGGATATCTAGGGCAAACAGCAGTGAAAGGGAACATTGCGTCCTTGTTCGGAATACGTATGACTACATCTGCCTCAGAAATGTTGGATGTTCATTGTCTAAAATTCATCAGTTCATGCGCGGGACACTAGCCATGGTCTGCATGGATACCACTTGTCAAAATATCTTTTTTTCTTCTCGGCGAACAACTCCAAATTTAGCCTCTACAAAGTGGCCATGACTCGACAGGCGTGAATTGCCAAAGAAACGAATTACTACTCGGATATCACTGGGGTGGAAACTAATTATTATTGTGACCTATTTGCGGTCATTTGTCAGCCGCTCTGTGAATAGAGAAAAGTGCAGCTTTTGGAAAGAGGTTCGATTGTGAGTGCTTGCCACCAGAAAGTTATTGGAGGTTTTTGGTATGGTAATCGGGGGTGTTACACGAGGACATTACCCTACCGACAAGAGGGCCCGGTTCACCAACAGCACTGATTAATACACCTAATTTTAAACTGACTATCCCAAAAGTGAGTTTTATCTTTAAACTATACATGTATATCAAGCAGGATCTGAAAGAAAGCCAGTGTCAAAAATAAACAACAAAGATCGATACATGTCTGTACCATACATACGACATAGCTATTTAGACCGTGACACCTGTAAATTCGTGTAGGTCGGACATTCTCTGGGTGGGCCCCCGAGCTATTGTCTGTATAGTGGCCTATGTCACACCTGCACTTTTATCAACTTTGTAATATACATTAAATGAAAAAAGTGACAAAGGTCCTGTTTTTGCTGTGGAGCTGAATTTAATTATACTTGTCTCTCCACAAATTTGTATGCATTAAGTGAAATTATGTTTTTTGTTTTGTTTTGTTTTGTTTTTTTTTTTTTTTTTTGGTGTGTAGCGCACATGCAGTGGGCGTAGCGATCGATCGAAGTTTATGGGAGTGCTGCACACACGAAAACTGAGGGGCTATTTAAGCGGGCCTGTGATTGGTGGGATCGACCGCCGGCACGGGACGAATATGTATGAAAGCATGCAACACTGGACATCGCTGTAAGGCTCGCCGTGATAATGCCATTATATACACTCCACCATTGTCCCGTGCCTAACTATCTCGACCCAGCCCGCAAAAACAGCAGACGGAAAAGGTGCACGGCGATCCGTTACAGTCGAGAGAGAAAAAAAACTCAGCGGGTACGCCGCAAAATCCACCAGTACGGCATCATCTCTTAACTGATACACCATATTGCTGGACAGTTTCAGTGTGTTGGTTCTATCTAGCCCGCCATTGTCAGCTACGCTTCTTGAATGACAATAGCTTTCTGAAGAAAGCCCCGGCAGTATAATACCTGCCGTGCTCAATGCCTTTTTTCGCGCTGTGTCAATTTGCTCACTCTAACGTCACTCACTATTCCCTCATTACCTTCCCTTTATTGTGTTCTCAGAAGTCGGACAACCAGAGCTCCAGTAACGAGCACATCGGGGTGACGTGCGCATAGCTTTACCCACTCGTTTACTTTTTGGGCACTGGGAACAGTTCTGCGCCGCGACAGCACCGAGAAATTTGCGAGATACTAACCCAGGACGGATCGTGCTTCCCTCCGACAGCTTTGGACAGAAAGGTTTTGAGAGAAATTACTCTGGTACGCGTCTGACACCAGACGGGAAGTTGTGACCGAGCCCTCAAGTGGTCTTCAGATTCTGTAAGTACATGCACACGTTCGTGTTTACAGGTCCCGGGACACATGGAAAGTTGAGTGGGATATGTGTATATAATCAACTCTCCTCCTTGCCTTCAAGTTCCTTTCATTTTGACTTAGGTTTACAACTAAACAACATTTAAGGAGATGAATTCTACTGCGGATAGTAGTAGGCATAATCCCTTGAAATTGTGGCTCGTGGTTGTGGAACAATCAACGAACGCTTGCCTCTCTCGTAATTGACTTAATAAACAAGTCTCGTAACATCCAATTACGATCGACTCTCAAAATAAAGAGCAGCGATTACAATATAGAGCAAATTCGAGGTATCCCAATGTCCTGTATTATTTCCATTTTTCTTTGCATTTCCATTCCACTTATAAGGTTCTGTTGTAAAACGCTGATTTGGCCTGTCTCAGACAAACCAAAGCTTACTGTTTGAGTGGATGACACATAAATTGTATGAAAAGGAAACCAAATACTCTTTTAAGCAAGTGCATTTCACATAAATGGGCTTGTTGCGTTCTGCTAAAGTTTTATAAGTACATGTCTCTGACAGCAATTGCAACATAGGTATTATACCCTCAGGAATATTACATTGGAATACAGTTATTTGAAAAGGTTGGGTTATGTTACAAATACATGTTGCTTGTGTTACGGTTACGGGTAATTCCAGACATTAATTTAGTACGTTGCATTTTGTGCTATAGGAAGAAAACTTTATTTAGATTTCAATCGAGTAAGAGGGGACCTGTGTGCAGTTTTCAACTCATTTGGGATCTTCTCTTGACAAATGTACCAAACGTTCTGTAGAAATGGCATAAAATGCTGTTGGATGATGATCTGATGAATTAGTGAAAGTTTATCATATTTTGGCCTTATTAAACATCCATGATTAATTCTGTCAGATGAAAACTTTTTTGGAAAATAATTCAATCCAGAATGAAGACATATCTTCCAAAATGACGCTTGGGCGAGAAAACTAAATAAAATTGGCATAGTTCTAGTGTTTCTGTTAGTATACATTTAATGGGTTTGATTTACAGTGTGACATTGGAAAAGGATTGTAGCATCTTCAGACTGCTCGAATCACACGTTATATTGATGGAAAACATCATTCTCAAATTGTTAAAAGCCGTATAGACCAAACACAGAAATGACTGCAGTAATCACTTAGAACAGCGCTTACCCCTAAACTCAGTATGTCAACATCGGACCATTAAAGGCCGAGCCGAGTCCAAAAAAGTCACCAGGCTGGTTGACAAACCAATTAGCATTGATTTAAGCCGGGACTGTGTAATTAGTACAACCGCGTGTAGTTGTCGGTACATTCTGAAATGGGGTAAGCTAAGCTAGTTTCTGTAGGCAAAATCGGCCAGAATTAGAATCCAATAAGATTCTAATCATTCAGTTTTCAACCGTCCATTTCTATGATCCTGTCAGTATTCCAGATTCGTCAGTTTTATCATGGTTAGACGATCAGCTTTGATAAAAATATCTCGATCTTTGCCCAGCCCTGCGTAGCTGTATTTGCCAAAAAATGTTTTCTCAAACACTTTTTGTCAAAACTATTAGTTACATAGATAGATGTCGGCATCCTTGGAATCAAAAACAACTTTGGGTCACATTTCTCAGGTGTTTTCTTCGGGCATACTATGAACATATGCAAAGTTATACAATGGCTTATTGTATGATATATGATAATGCAACAGCAAACACTATGGGTGGACTTGTTTGGGATTTTTAAAAAATCGTCTATAAACTGTTGACCTTTTCATGCAACACAAGTCCTTTACGTTTGATTATTTTTGTTGATGTCATGTTTTATCAGAAAAATCCAATGCATCGGTCATGCTTCAAGTAGATAGGTGTTTGACAGATGTTTAGAAGAACATCACGTGAAATCCTCATTCCATCATCATTAAAGTTGTTGCTATGTATTGAAAAGTAATTTGTCACCAATAGGTAGACGACCCGTGGCCAGTATACCGCAAAATAGTGCATCTCATTACCTCCCCAAACGCATTGTGGGATAGGGGACATCATGGCGCCTTCCTGGGAGCACACGCAGCAAGGCACCGTCGGGGCATACCTGCAGTAACCGATTGGCAAACGAATGCTTTGTGTACACGCGGCGTTGTGCAAATCGTTTGCGTAATACGTAAAGAACTCCAAACACGACTGCTTTAAGTTTGCAAGAATATCTGATTAATGGGCTGTATAGGGCTAGTAGTTTCGTACTCTGTAGAACTGTATAGGCCCCTAGACAAAATTCCGAAAAAGAAATGATCGATTACCGAGTGGAGGTAATGGACTGCTTTTCAATTTGGCCTGATTTCTTGGTTGAAAATATACATGTGCATGATTTATGAATCCATGCACACTGTTTTAGTCAGATGTCAGTATAATATAACTTGTTTTCTTTTAAAAGGGCTATGTCTCATGATCAAGATGGCGGCTCCACGGAACCCAAAGTCAGTTAGACAAATGAAGCCTTGGGGCGTAGAGCCAATCAGACGGCACTAATCTATCTGAAGCGAAGGGTGCGTCTTCTTAAAAAGGCGGCATTGCAGATGATTAATCTTGTCTGTTTGCCCGGTCGATAGAAATTGATTTCAATCACAAAGACAGAGTGACTCAAACACCCAGATTCATTAGCCAGCGTTTGTCCTTCACGCGTCTCTTTCAACCGCTTCCTTATTTCAGAGAGGTCCCTCCAGCATGTTCGGGGTTTGCTCGAACGTTCAAACTCTTTCACCACTTCCGAGGTCCCGGAAGAGGGAAATTATTTTTTTTTCTGTGAAGATTGTTTTGCATGGTTGATTCTGCTTGCTTAAAATGTCTGCGCTGATCTATGGAGGCTAAAAGCGAAAGTAGCATAAGTATCTTCAGACAGCGGCATAGTTTAATCTTTCAGTAAACCTTACAGAAATTGCAAGAATTGTAAGAATGTGAGATACTAGTCTTAGTTTCAGTGCCTTCTTCCTGCGATATCCAACTTTAACTTTTCTTCAAACACCATCACGACGCAGTGCTTGCCGGCCTACTGGGGCGTGCGTTTACTCGCATTGGTGCACACGCACCCACTGCTATAGTCCGGGGCACATGCTAGTCGTCACGTATGACCGGGACCCGGAAAAAGTTCTGTGTGGCCCCACGGTGTGTTGACGCAAGGCCCAGCGGACTCAATTTAATCTCCGGACTCGTGAGTGGATTTGAGGATTCCGTGTTGGGCTCTGTATGTGTGCCGACGCTTGAAGGCTATCCTGTGAGCAATCTCCTGCTCTGATATCAGTCCAAATTCCCGCCAACTCTTGCAAGTACTGGCACGAATGTAAGCATTGAGATTCGCGTTGCTTGTACATGTATAATGTCTTTCCGATATCTTATATCACTCGTGTGTTTGGGAGCGAGATTCAGTTCGGGTCACCGAGACACCGCCCTGTTTTTGGTATCTGCCACTGAGAAGCAATTGAAACCAGCCGATTCACTTTGACGCCTCTTCGAATTCATTGTGAAATAGAGCCCAGTGTTTATCCTTGATTACTGCGGATTGATAGTTAATTAATTAGGTTAGGCCAGACACGTATACAGCGATCGGTCTATACCGTAGCCGAGTCCAATGCCACGGCCTCGGAGGCTTGCGAGACTTAAACACTCGGTCGGCGGGCCTAGATACTCGCATAATTGGCGGCGATGCATTCCCCTCCAATTGGGGGGAAAAATCTCGCAGCTTGGAACCACGGAATCCGAAGTATCGAATCATGCCATCACGGTCGGCAGACCACTCGGAAAATGCCTCTCTGTCTTCCGCCCGTGGCCCGGCACGTAGCGAACACTTTCATGGGATGGCGGGATGTTTCGTACTCAGACAATCAGGCCAAATTGAAACCCCGGTAAATTCAATTGCTCAGGGGTGCCTGTGCCGCTATAGGCGAAAGAATTAACGAAAGTGGCCCGTCCTTATAAGATCTGATCATATAAATTACATTTATTTTGGTCCCTGCACGAAAGAACGTTGAAAGTGAAAACCATTTGATTTGACTGGACTGTGATCCTCGACCGAGTATTCTGCTATAGCAACAAAGATGGATATACTTTCTGTATTTTTTTCTTTGCTCCTTTTGGTGTCGAAGTGAATCACGACGCTTCAATCGTTTCATTTTGAATTACCGTCTATCAATCTTAACGTACTAAACAGTTGTAGAAACATCTTTCAAAATCCACATTCAAAATGACCAAATTAGCACATCTGTCCTGTTACTTTTTAAGTGATATCAATTCTTTTTCAGAATGAAGCAGTTGCGTAGGAGAGCCTTTCTAAATTCTGTTAAATCCTTCAACTTACATGAACACTCCGCATCATCTGTGGTAAAGTGCCTTACAAGCAAGCCTTTATAGTCGCAACGGACGGGGTTAAATATCAATTTTACCGAATGTAGATTCAGTTGTTAAATTTCCCGTAGTTGATGCCTGCCCTGAATGTTCAAAATGAACTCGAACATCACCTGACAGACAAGTATACGGTTTGTGCCGTACTTAGCCCTTCACGATCATTATCACTTACTCCGGGGCTCATCCTCAGAATAATATGCCTTCCCAAACAGTTTCCCGGTGATAATGTGAAGATTTCGCGCGGTTTAATTTCTACTTATGGCGCGCCACAAAATACAAACAAGGAGATCTGTGTAAACTAGCTTAAGTCGGCCCTGATCCGGTAAAGACGCGGCTGGCACGAGCCCAGCCACGACGAATCGAGTAGGTGAAGAAGAAGAAGTCGGTGACTACATCAGCCAGAAGGGACGTGCTCAAGTCATGAATGATATTATACATAAACCGATTCATTTTCGAAATGCCGGTGGACCCGTTTGTGATATTCTAAGCCCCGCCATACTCTAACCGATAGCCACTTAAAGTATTCGTTTACATCCACTACGTGCACATGTACACGCAGTTTCCTGTGTGACTGGAGATCTCAGAGAACCTAATCCGCCAATCTGATTATTTTGTCTGCCCGGTACCATTCACAAGCAATTGTGATCACAAACTAGCCATATTTTCAATGATCAAATCTGCTTAGTGGTTAAGTGTTTGATTAACGATTTTCTCAGATAGTGCATTTATGTTTTAAATTTCCATTCCTTCGATTACCATAAATTTGCACACACGAATCTTTGAATTGAACACTGTACAGTCACGACTGTATTTTGATGACATCTGGTTGTACCCGTAGCGATTTGTTTGTTTGTTCGTACTGTGCCATCTGAGTAAAGCTGACAACAATTCAAGGTCCACCTATCTTTTACAGCTAACACACAAACTAGTTTTAACAAGTGCATGCTGTCTCCCCCATCTTACAGGTCCACTCCGCCACCACCAACACCCCCAGTTCCCCGTCCCGGTAAGTGAATGCCCAACGCCCGCTCACCCTACTCGTCCCTTGTCGGTGCCGAGAGCTGCATGGGGAAATCTGACGTCATGGAGAAAGGATGGGTCGCGTCATCTGTAACCCCCGAAAACATCAAAACCGAACCCGGGTGAGTTATTTTGTTTCCGTATCCAAAACGTCCCACCTGTGACCGTTACTCACGTTTCGAAGGAATTGTTTTATATGCGTGAAGATGACACCACACCACGGATGAACGAACTTGAAATCTGCACTAATTCTGTGTCTATTTTAGTGCATTGTTTCTTTTAACATGTCCACAAGACTGATTTTGCTCTGTCTGTATGGGAGTTTTTCCAATGATGATTATAATAATGGGTAATGTAATACTGGAATATTGTTCCTTTTGGGCCGGAGTCACAAGATTAGATTCCCTTCACATTATAATTTCCTGTTTACAAGCTTTCCTGATTTGAGCTTGTACTCATTTTCAAAACTACGATTAGTCGATGAGCTTGAGGAAAAAAGCCGAGGCAAATCAGTAACGGATTAGACTGCCTATTATTAACAGTTCAGGAGGTCAAGTAGTTTCATTCTTGGCCGAAGTATAGCATGATCTAAGGCGGAATGAACAAGTGCACACACTCGAATTCGATTTGGAAATCCCGCCAAGAAGTTATCAGACATCGGGGAAAAGGCACCCCGATCCGGGAACGCCATCTCGGCACTGTTTGATTAATTTGTCCCAACATCGGAGTGCAGTCGGCGGGCCGCATGCCCCTCACGCCTTGGCGGAGCGCGCACGCCAGTTCCGTGCCGATCTCTCGGCACGCAATGCCCAGTGGTAAGCAATAATTACAATTACACCCCCTAGCCAAAAAAAAAGAGAGAGGAAGGGGAAGCAATCCTTGTTAGTGAAGAGATCTTTGGCGGAGATTTTTTTTCTGTCTTCTCGTGTACCGCACCAGACTGACTGATTCGTTCCGATGTGCCCCCGGGCTCCGGCGTGCATGGTCCCCTTAAGGAGACGCTTCATTAATGCTTGGGCTCGGCAGAGATCCTAATGAACTCGTGAGATGCTACGGTGGATACAAGGAGAAAAACTACCGCTGCCAACCCTTCCAGTCAGCCGGGGCTGGCTGGGAAAATCCTTTTAAAAACTTAGCAAAACACAGACGGCAAACAGCCACCGTGCATAAGAGGCAAAGGGCGAGGGAAAACTCGGGGAAAGTAACATTTGGAGAACTTGTTTGTTCATGTAAAAATCCGAGTTCCCGTGTGTTTTTCATAACTGCATCGTGCTTCAAGATTCAAAAGTCTGCGTCAGCCGATAATCAAATTAATCAAAATTAATAAAAAATATAACGGCTGCCTTGCTCGTGAATTTCATGGCACAGAGTACCAACTAAGCTAACCCCGCCAACAAGCCGGCATTCGGTAGGCAGGAGAAAAGAAACAACTTCACAGCTCAGTAAAGATATGATCAATAATTCCAATAACAATTCTGGCCTTTTGTTGGCGCGTTTCCGTCATTTTGTATTGTTGGTAGGAATGTCAGCATGGCCAGCCGCCCTTTGTGCTCAGCAAGTTCGTGCCCAGCGGGCACGTACACCTGGAGTGGTTCTGCTGAGGGTAGCAAAATGAGACCGGCCCGTAAAAGGTAACACGCCGACAAAAACAGCACTGCGGGGAGCGGGTGACTGGAGCGCCACCTCCGTGCTAACTTTAACCTCCGCGCGGTTACAAATGAAAGAGAGACAGACAGAGAGAGAAGTGGACCCGAAACACCGGCGTGGTTTTGTTCAGGGTGGGGGCATTGTTAGCGTGTTCCTGGACAAGATGGATGGGGTGATTGGTATTAGAAGACAGCCAGCCCGTTTACCGCTGGTCCAAATTTTCTACGTTTTTTTTATCGGGGTCATGGGGTCATCCACATCTACTGATGACGCATTCCCCACTTTAAAAAAGTTCTACCTGTGAGAATCGCTTTGTGTTTTTGAGGAAAGTCTCTTTATACCATTGTTATCACTTTTTACCACAATCAAACAAAGCGCTGGTCAGCGCCTCTGGTTTGAAATCAGAAAGACAAAAACAGATGATGTGGCTTTCAAGAGTCCCCCTCGCCAAACTTTCGTCAATTTCACAGTTTGACAAGCCTTCTGTTGTCGATGTCATGCACGCTCACAAAGCATTTCACGCTTACTCGGGCGCACAAATGCCGTCGGCAAGTAGTGCGACTTGCTCCAATCTATGGATGAAGGTGGGAATTCAGTACTGAAGGAATTCGAATTAATGGCTACAGAATTGTAGTAAAAAAATGGAAAACTCTTCGTGTGACTTGAAGTGAATGATTCTTCAACACGGCGAATAGGTTGCCCGTATCACGGACCCATACTAGGCTACGTTGACGACATTAGGGCTAATATTGTTTTACTGTGCTTACTAGATGTGCAAATTGTGAATACAATCCAGTCGTCTTTTCTTTCGCACTTTCACAAAGATATTTCAAACGTATTCCAAAAAATTGGACAATAGACAACAATTTAATTGTTATTTATTAGATTAAGATTACTTATAAATTATTTGCAATTAATTGATGGCTTAGCGCCTCGCCTTTTGCTTTTTGGTTTCTCCGATCAAGCACGTAATACCATGCGGGTCTTTTAAAATATTAAGTATAATGATTTTTTGCCTATGAGAACAACACGAGTCATACACGTGTATGTTTAAACCACTCTTAATTGTGAAAAATTATAAGAAAAATCGCAAGTCTTGAAAGAATTTAACATGTAAAGAGTACGCCAAAACGGATTAAAAACTTTGGTTGCCTCTAAAAGAAGTGTACAAGTTGCAACATTGGGTTTTTTTTCAGGTCTAAAAATGCTTCTTTCCCATGGTAGATTTTGATCTTTAATTTCAATGCGCCCGGAGATATGGCATGAAGCGAACAGTGCCATGTGGCATGCGGAGTCGTGAACGCTTGTACTGGGCCGAGGCACAGGTTGTGCTGTTATAACTGTGTGGGCATTATTGAGACGGTTGTCATTCTAATTAGCAGTGTTATGATTAGCGCCCCCAACACGTGCTTTGATCTCCGCCGAATGTTTTCCTTCCAGATTTGGGGAGGAGGTGGGTTGGCGAAAGAAATTAAAAATATGACGTCACTTTGTGCTCTGTATTTCTGTTCATCTTTATATAATTTGGAAGAACAATAGAGACTGTATATTGGGTAGTTAGTTCATTAGGGTCCATACTTTTGAAGTGTGTTTCTGAATACGAATTTACTTCCAACCAATTGCCTATAATTATCAACTGCTTATAGGGTTTTCTTAAATTTTTTTATCTCGTTCGGCACAAAATGGAGAGTTTTTGAAAGTGTTCATTTTAAGGTTCTGAATGCGCATTAATGTGTTTTTTTGCGACATAAATGAAAGTGTTCATGTAAAGTAATACGGATAAAAAAATATAATAAATGTTGCTTACAAATGAGCAGTTCAATTGTGTTTCAAATTTACGAACGATGCAGTCGGAACTAAGAAAACTCGCGATAAATAACCGGTAATGTGAAACTTAGTGAGTTGGCCGAGAGGGGATAATTCCTCTGCTGCACTGCAAGTGCGCCGTGCTGGTGTGAAAATGACAACTTGGGACACATTAATCGCGCCGATAACTCGACAAGCAGCGCACGTCGATTGAGTAACAGTAATTATATTTCCCAATTAATCGAGCATACATTTTAATACATTAGATCCACCAATTTGGAGAAGGGATAAATTTACAAAGTGAAGGGGGATCTGTAGACTAAACTAATACCGACGTGACTCGGGGGTCAGGTTGTCAGCGCCACAGGGCTGTACAGCGCGGCGCTGGCCCTGGCTGAATTGTGTCTCGCTGCTCGCTTCGACGTCGGCCAAAGTACTTTTAAGCCATATTTTCCTCTTGAGTGCCCGGAAAAGTGTCACAAAGTTAATTTTATCTCTCTAATTTTCCTCCGGAGTACTCCGTCTGGTCACTTTTAGCTCGACCGACTGCAGTCCTTTAGCCGTTCCTCATGTGTGATTTTTTGCATAACAAATCATGTCAAATTATTGTGACAATTATATTGGTTCCATCTTAGTGAGTCTACTACTCTTATTAAGTGGTACATGGAAAGACTTAACAGTCTCGTGGTTTTTGTTTTACGTCACATACTTCGAAGAAAATCGAAGGAGATTGGAAAATTTGCCTGATATTCATCAATAAGAGGTAAAAAAAAAAGCAGGGCAAACATCTTGTCTGAGCTTTCTTCCGTAGGTGTCTTTTGCTATCAATATTTAGAATACAGTCTGTGTTTTATTCTCGAGGTAGAAGTCAAGAGTGCATTAGCGAGATCTTTGTGTAACTGCGGGTACCGCTACGTGACCGCGGTTTGTTCCTGTGTGGACCGCAGCGGCTGGCGAGGTGAGCACTCACGACCAAGGAGGATTGGACCGCCGCGCGCACGGCCCGCGGCAATCAGGAAACAATGTAATAACCTCTAATGGCCGAGACAAATCATATCGACCCAAGACTATTGGAAAATGTACAAGAACCCCCTGCGCCGGGCCTCCCCCCAAATGGATATTAATTATGTCAAGTATACAATTTGGGGGACTCTGAAGTAGGGTCGGATTTCGCTTGGCGGAAGAGGGAGAAGGAGAAAAGTGACGGGGGTGAGTTAATTACTGCCCCCGCGCGTAGAGCTGTCGAAATCACACTCTTCTTTGATTGATACAGCGTAACGGAAAAAGGCTCTCTTCGTGGAAGCAGTCAAACCAATTCTAGCATGCCGGTGCTTTGAAATGCTATCGATCCATCTACAGCCATTCACCGTCATGCAAATTTTGGAATGGTATGTAGTAGAACAATTGGATGATGTTTTTTTCCTGCTCGCCATGACAGCCCTAACGTTGGAGGGAGAAAGGTGATGTGTCGGTTTCGCATCGCCTCAATCTTGGAATATCTCGCTGCTAATTTGACATTATGGGTCCACAAGCTGGAATTTTATATTTCAAGTCTCTTTCTGATTTCCTTCTCATTTCATGATGCATTAGCCTTACTCTCAAATTAATATTTGAAATCTTCGTGTTGACCTTCGTTTTCACCTAGACGATAGTTGTTACATAGAGGTGCTTAATTTTGCTACGTGTACCTAGTTCTCACGAGTCGAATAGTTTGTTTCAATAAGGCTAAAAATAAATCTGAAAATGAATCAACTGGTTCCCTTCACCAACCTTCCAAAACTGACTGTTGTCAAAATGGATTTTCGCAATTTGCGATCAGAGCGAGACTGGTCGTGGATAACTGGATGTTCCTCTTTTATCTCCAGGCGACCGCTGAGGGTACATCCACAGCCCTTTATTTGTGACCCACACAGGGTGCTCTCGTAGGCCAAATTAGGCGGAAGAGAAAACCCAAGTCGGACATAATGTTGTCAAAGGGTCAGACCATGGCGATGGACCAGTCTTGGTTAACAGGTCACTTGCGTGGATTCAGTGATGAACTCGTGTGGAATGTTAGACTTTCAGGCCATAACACTAGAACAAAATCCGGGCTTATTGGTAAAGGCAACGATGATCGTGATTCAAACGGGGCGTCAGCCAGAGCAGTCCGTCATTCTTTTAAAAAATGAACATATTCCAATCCTGGAATTGTCTGATGCCTTGCTTCGTTGATTGACTAAAAGACATTAGTTGTGTCTTGTACGGAACTTATTTCCTGAAAAGGTTTAAGGAAGATCGAAATTGTCCCTGATGAAACTGTTTGAATATCTTCACGAGAAAGAGAAGGATAACCTTTTGTTGTTCACGAAAGAGTCTAGCAAAAGACACACCCGATCAGCCTTTGCTAATGAATGTTTTTGGAATTTACAAAGCTCAAAATATAAAGGAGACACGTTTGTTTTCAAATTATTTGAACTATCTATCGACCTCTCATGTTAGAAAAATCCGACCTATCTTTTTTGGTGACAAACGTTAGAGAGATTCCCCTGGACCGATGCCCGGAGGCTTTTCAATCAGGCGGAACAACATGCGGACTTTTGGCGGACGACTCTGCCAATAAGCCTTCTCGGGCCTCTCCGAAGCGAGTAAGAGCCGTCGTGTAAATCGAATTACCCGGCAAAAGTACACGGAATGTCTCGAGATGGGAACGGGCAGGGCTGATTGTTGTGGGGCCGCGGTACCCCAGACAGTCGACGTTTTTTTCCCGCTGCTTATTTGTTTGTTATCCCTGCGCATTGTGGTGGGGGTTACGGGGACCCAGACGAAAACATTCGTCACTGATTAAGCATACTACTGAAGCGCGCTATTTTTTTCATCCAATGAAAGCTTAGTCGTTTATGAAACATGGTAAGTATAAGTAACATTTATAGATGGTCCTAAAATCATTCAAGTCGTTGTCAAGATAATCAGCCAAGAAATTATTTTTTGTGGTTAATCTGATCAATCAAAACTATGTTCCGGTTCTAAATGAGTCTTAAGTTGGGCAAAGATATTAGCTAGAGATGCGATGAATACTGGGCCTTTGGAGATCTGGTCTGGTCGTGGTTTTGCGGAGATGACAGGCTCAAATCTTACCCTAGTTAGTTTCTGCTCTCAACACAATGTTCCAGTACTGGCAAATTCTCACCTATTTCCGGTTCGTTTTGCATTTATGGTCCGACCCGCTGCACCATCATTAATCATAGTTCCCCATCGTTTTACTCCCTCCATCAAAGTGTTACCACTTTAGCTACATCCTTTCCATTGTTAGCAAGATAATAACGACGTCTTCTCACAGCCTTGACCAGACGGAAATAAGAAAGAGGAAAACAACCACGAAACAAAAAAGGCCCAAAAACTTTGGGAGGGGGAGATTTTGTGGTTTGTCAGACAAGTCTCCAACAGAGCGAGGTCCTTTGTTAGTGTCTTACCTACAGGCGATGATGATGTTCGTTGGTTCTTCTTCCTGTAGTCGCGTGACTACCATCTCCATGTCTGGTCACGGAGGCTTTCTGTGCGGGGGAGGGTCCGTGGTTTGGACCGATTGCTTTTTCCGCGGGTGTACTTGTTAAGGGACAACATCGATGCCCCGAAGGAATTCCGCCTTAGTTAAGTTGGTATGTTGTCTACTGAGATTGGCACTCATGCAGCCTGACTCTAAAGTCATTTAAAAAATGGCTCTTCGACTCACCTAACTCGCCAGGCATTATTGAGTCAATATTAATCGAGTTCATTGGCAAGTACAATTATTCTACACTGTAAAAACAAGTGTTGATGTTTTAACACCTTCCTTATAACACTTAATGAATGCGTCGTGTTAACAATCCAATACTCAACACGTTGATACGTTTATTTTCTAAACAAAGACGTGTTGGTGTGTTAATGAAATAGACGCAAAGACACGTTTACGTGTTAATAGCAAGACACAAAAACACGTTTACAGGGTAGTAACGCTTTCTTAACACCAAGTAAAGGTGCTTAATTTTAAATGGCTACATCTGTCCACTGTGGCAACGTTGCAAGGGCTATTAATCATCACATTGAGGGCATAGTTTCAGAAGTAGATTTTTCTGTTATAAAGGACACACAGTTTCAGAATTATTCCTCCATGGTTTCTTCTGTGTTGTCCATGTCTTATTTTGTAACGTGTAGTTGGAGTTTACAAGGGATTGACTAAAATGTATCATATGTAGTTTCATTTTTCCCCCCATAGGGTTCTATGCTTTTTCTGGTCCTTCTCATGCGGATAATACGATGGAAATTGAAGTACTCAGCCGTAGTTCCCCTTTCCATATACTATATTTGGTTCCTGTGGTCTCTTATCGATTTCTGGTTGTCAAGCTCGTTACATAATCCCGCTATCGTCAGAACCCATCAGCCACCAGGACGACACTGCCTGGGACCCGACCCACTGTTGTTTGCTTTCACCCCGTCAAGTGTTGATTCTTGGCCAGGTACTCCACCCAAATTCCATTTGACTTCACCCTGAGAAAGATATCACCAATTATTAAATGGTTCGCTCAGTTAACCATTAATTTGACGAGGCCGTGAGAAGGGAAAACATGTTGTAGTTGTACAGCGCGGCAATATGAGCTGGTACCACATTATGCTCGGAGTTGTCCCCCATTCGATTTAAATGAGAAGACTTGCACTGTTTGAATCTTTTAGCCAATCGATACTTGCGTGATTGCAGTTGAATATAAAAGTGTACTGTTAGCGCTTATAGTTGCGCTTTGGAGAATTTCACAAGCATGAGGTTTGGTTCATTGCTTGAACAGACTTAGGATAAATGAAGTCAACTTTATTCCTCACCTAAACCTCAATGCATTTTTTGTGGTAAAGCATTGCTGTTGAGATGGTTAAAATGTATGTATCATACCATTTTCTGAGACGGTGTGCCATGATTTGTGTTCATCGGGATCAGTGTAAAAAAAAAACACAAAAAAGAAATTTCAATACACTAGAATAATGGATTTTTTTTTACTGAGGCGCTTGAGGGCGCACGATTGAAGATGAGGGCGTACGGCCAAACTTGAATCTGATCACATTCCCTTGCTAAACGGAATCACGAAGTTTCGATGGACTCAAGACAGCTTTTGAACCATTTCAGTATAAATGACAAGGAAAAAAGCAGAGTGTAACTGAACAAGTCCAAGACTGGTCAGCGATTACTCAGCATGGTGTGTGGAGACCATACAGGGTTAGCGTGGGGGGGGGGATTGGGAAAGAGGGCCATCATTCGCCGAGGATGTTAAGGCTGATGGACGGGTCTATTCTAACATAGGACCTGTACAGCTTGTTAAACAGCCCTCTCCGGTCATGTCCTAATGCCCCACCATTATCCCGCAGTGAATGCGGTGTCTTTTGTCAGTGGGGGCAGGGATGAAGAATATATGATTAGGAAGCCTCGTTGATTCCGCGATCATGGGATAACGGTTGTCCGGCCACTCCAGGAAAAAAAAAAGACGAGGGATAGCTGGAGGATAAGGATGGAGGGCCGGGAGTACAACGGCCAAGCTCAATTTGTATTATTTTGAAAGAGTGACATGCAGGGGGGCCGGTAACAATAGGAGGATGAGCCTAAGCCGATTGGATGCCGGGCACCCACGTGACTGCGCGCGACTCTAAGTATGGTCCAGTCAGCGCACGGCCCGGCTATCTCATTGCCCACGCACCCACACGCACCTACGTACGGGACCGCGTTAAAGGCGATCGCGAACAAAATGTTGAAGCTACTTTTAGATGATCACTTTACTTGGACCATACAGAGGGCTTAGATCCCCCTTCGGGCTGGTGTAGAACCTGAGTGTCATGTACTGGGCTTAGGGCAGATATTGTCATCAACTTTGCATAGAATCTTGTGGCAGCGAATCAACAGCGAAAACAAAAGACGAAGTCCTGCGAATCACCCCCTTTCTGTTCTTGTTTTGATCGGCTCTTTTTGCAGTGCTCTGACCGCGGTAGAGCGACACGGTTTCGACACGGCTTTTCCGATTCGCAGCATGAGCGGTATGGCTTACACTATACCTCCAGTACCCGGACCGCCTAACATGAAGGGCCCCCCATTCTCCGTCAACGGGATCAGTTTGGCAGCTCACAACGTGGATTCGCTCCACCCGGCCATGAACTACCACAGTAAGTTGATTTTTTTCGTCTATCGCCAGTGCATTAAGATTTCCCATCGCTGTTTTTAAGCCCATAATCTGTGTGGCTAAATTGTAATCTTTCTAGGTGTCAATATTGTGTATTATTGCAGTGGATAAGACGTTTATGTGGTAACGGTTGATCCGTTTAGGTCATGATTACAGATGTCAGATAGTTTTGTTCCGTTCGATCAAATGTTGATTTTGTTTGTTTTTATTTGTCCATAATCTTCCAAAGAACACTTCCATTTTAGGATGTTTGGAGCGCGCGTCATAGATGTATACCCCCTTCTCTTCGTGTTGGTCATCGAATCTAGACATTTATTCTCGCGGTCTGAGTTGGTAGTGATTTGGAACACAACACACATTCGGCGCTTTTTAATGACAGTATTTAATGTATTCATTTGACACATTCGACGCATTTAATTGGGAACTGAACCGATATCGAAACCTGAACAAAGCACAGTATTCCTTCGTTTAGATTTTTTTCCCTTTACCAATGGAAGTTTTCTCCGGACTCCTTTTGCAAAACAACTCCTTCATCCACCGTGCAGACATTCATGAAAAATTAATGAGTGTTCCTGAAGAGGCCCGTGCGTTGTTCAGAGATAATTTGCGATCCGAGCCCGGGCTGTTTCGACATCGGGGAAGGGACTAAAGGCGACTTAGCGTATCGATCGCAGAGGAGCTGGCCGGATGGATGGCCGAATTCTCCCTTGCCTGATTGATGGAGTGTACGCTCATTGTTGTTCGGTGGGGACCGGGCCCCTTAAAAGGGAACCATTCAGTTCGGGGAGAAGAAATAGCCCGGGATAGTTTCGCTCTCATCGATTTTTCTCTGGTTTCTTTTGGGGGCTTTGGAAATCCGTCGAGGGGTAAGTTTTAATCCCCACTGTGGTCTGGGTCAAGCCTTTGAGAGCAGTTGGTCAACAGTCATCGGTAACATATTGAATTTTTTGGCCCCAATCGATGTTCTGTGGTGGGCTCCAGAATTCCAGGCTTCCCTCGCCCACAAAATTGGACACTTGAAAGAATCCTCCATCTGTGAACAGTGACGAAGCAGAACATCGCTGAGATATGAGTCAAACAAAGCCTCATTGTTGAACCCATCAAAGACAAAAATAACAGAAAGATGTGGGGACATCGGGTTTGCCAATTGCTTATATAGGAAATATACAGGTTCCTTATTCTAGGCATGTCACGTCTGTGGTGTCACTGGTCTGTGTTGAGATTACTGTATTCGATTTCGAGCAGGGCTGAGTGGCTAAGCCGAGGATGAACTTGCTTTAAGTCGGATTAAACTGAGATTTGGAAAATACCTGACCCTACATGAATTAATAATCTTGTTTTCTTCGCCGGTGTCTTGTATTGGGACAGGAACTTAACTGGTACTCAACTGTATGACTTAGGTGATCAGAACACAATCGTCAGGACCATGAATGTATACTTTTTATTTTGTTGAGCTCATCGCTTTCCTCGTCAATAACCATTAACAAACAAAATGAGAGACCATTGTTCATTGGCGGAACTATGTTGCAATAATAATTGATATTACGCGATAAATCCTTTGCTTTAGTTTTCGATGGTTATCTTGCGCAAATCCTTTCGATCAACAAGAACCAGCCCGCTCGCTCATTTGCCTATTACTTATTAACCTTCATTCCTGCTCATTATGGACCGTAGCGCGGGAACCGGCGAAGCTGTCGCCGAGACAAGGAAACCATGACACGTAAGACGGCATGGGATGGTGTCATTCACAAAGAGCGCCAGTGTTTTATGAAAACAAAACGTCCTTCATAAGTTTCCTTTAACATCAGTTTATAAACACTCTAATATTCAATAAGCCACACAAATTACAAGATAAAGCCACACACGGTTTCTGCGTTTTTGTTTCTTGCGTTAGCTTACCTCATTGGTTAAGCTTGATGCAAGCATGGAAGGTGGAAATTATTTATATTTCCAACTTCGGTAAAAGCCGATCGCAGGATCGATTATATTTTTCGTAAACTGATTCCTTAAAGGTCAATTCCTAGAAAAAATACTCTTTCAAAGTCACAAATGTTGTAAATGTTCCAATGACTTGTTTACCATTAGGCCTAAATACACTTTTAAAAACCCACTGAAAATGTGACAAATGTTGGTTTAGTTTGTCGCCAAACTAAACCAACATTTGCAATCACAGAAGTACATAATATTTTTGGAGTTGCTAGTTTGTAGATTTGGTGCCATATTTTCACTTTTTTCCTTTTGTTTATCAATATTTTTCTGGGGGGGTTGGATATTCAACAATGAAATAGGAGAAAAGGCTGCCGAAGTTACCCTGATAGATAATGTGGTGCTTTTCAAATAACCGCATCCCCAAAATGTAAGAACGTATTGCTGAAAATACGGAAGATAAGTCGTTTGTTCGTTTATTTCAAATGCATACATGAACTAAAATTTCCTCAGTTGTATATCTCTTAGAATTATTATGTTCTTGTTAACTTATAAATTTGGATAGATCGTGTGTTCTCCTCATCTATTCATATTTTCTCTGCAGTGTTTGCGGTAATTTTTCGTTGACTTAAACTGGCCAGTTTCACACCTTTTCATTCTGTGATCTGTATGTCCATTTTCACATCCTCCTCACCGGTTGTTTTATGGTGCCTTGCTCCTCATTTCGACTAATTTGCGCTTGTTTACCGACGGTACACCGTAAACCGTCCTATCCTGGGCTAGATTTGGAGTCATTGCCCTGCGCCTGTTCATAGAAGACTACAGACCCTGCCGAATTTCGCTAGAATCTCCCCTGTCCCGACACCTTATAAACCCGACAGCCGGCTGGTATACTTTTCCGAGAGGTGTGAACATCTAAACACCAGGGCGAGCGGTGCCTTTTCCGGGCAATGTCTAAACAAAACAGTGGCGCTGGTAACTCGCCCCCATTACCACCGTCCGATGATACGCCAGTGCAGAGTGATTGTTCCCGAACCGACAAGGCAGGGCCGCTTATAGTTATAAAGGCCTTTGAGGAGAGCCGCGAACCACACGTCTATTATTCACCCATGTTTGAAAGGCTCCAATTAATAAACAGCCGATTTCTTCATTAGTACTGTTCTGTGTCAGGTGTTCGTTTTTTTATTGGGACTTCGCTGGGTCGTGATTTATAGTCACATCACGCATGGTCATAATAGTTCCAGGGATCCCTGTACATGGGCGCCGGCGGTCAAAAAGCGTCCCAAGAAGCTTTTGTACTTTGCATCTTGGTAGAACCCTTTACCGAAGCAAGTTACGTTGACGTTGACACTTGAAAATGTTCCCACAGCACAGCCAGTATCTTGCGGAGTCTAGCATGTGCCCTGTACCGACAGTAATGCTCGTTAACCCCGTTCGGCAAGGTACGTTGAACCATGGAGGAACAAACTCCGTCGCTCTCTCTGGAGAATGTGTTGGATTCACTTATTCCTTTGTCATAATAATTAGCGTTTTTATGTACATGCGTTGCGTCTTTTCTTTTGTTGTCTACACTTTCACATCTGAATCCTCATGTAGACACCTATAAAGACTAAATTGAAGGATTGAGTGCTGACAACAAGTTAAACCAAGTTCGATGATTGTAATGAAAATGAAACAAGAAAAAAATATTTTTCGCAGTGTAAACTTGTATCATTACATTTAAGCCTGTAGCTACCACATTCAACCGATTTCTTCTTTCTTTAAACTTTGAAAGGTGTGAACTTACAAATATCTTTCTCAGAAAAACATACTCTGAGCATAAAGTAAGGATTCCGCTTCCACGTGCTAAATGTTTAACCGGATCTGAACGTGAGTCAGTCTTTGCCAACAAGCCTTCATTAGAGTGGAAGAAAAATGTGTGATCTCCTGGCAAGTTGGCATCGACTCATCAGAAGTTGTTGACGCTTAGTAATCGGCATTCAGGCATCATTTGTTTTACCGTGAGCGAACTGTAACCAGAGACTTTACCCACGGCCATATTTTATGGCCATTCCGGGTCAGAATTGATTGCGTAGGGGCCGAAAACGTCACAGCCGCTGGTCAGGAAGGTCCACTGCGGGCCGGTGATGGGGCCAACTTGGGAGCCAACTTGAGGACCAAGGGACCGCCAAAAGCGGCACAGCCCTTTGTCCAGTTGGGGACCCCGTGCAAGACAAGACGGGTGCCGGTTGAACTGTGTTCCCGTATGCACTCACGGTGTGAAATCCGATACCGTAGCTTTCCTGTTACCGTCTACCGTCAAAACACGACTCCGTTCGGCCTGCCAGGCTTGCCGGGAAGCGTCCTGAACTTCCTAACCCCCTTGCTGTCATTTTGTCCACAGAATAACTCCGCTCAGGGTTACATTTTGTTTTTTGACATGGCGCCATCTTCGTATCCATTTCCGGTTGCTGTTGTTATTGCCTCTCGCACTACCTTGTCTGCGTTGCTCTCTTCCTGATAACACGAACACACGAAAAATAGTTCCCTCGACTCTTAGTTTTCCACATTTAATTGTTTTTTTTTTTCTTCTTTTCTTTGCCAAGTATTTGCTCTAACTCTTTCACTCATTAGCAATTCAGGGGTCCCGTCAATGTCAACAAAAGCCACCCTCGAGTTCGAATGTTCGTTAATTAAATTTTCGTATCTGTTCAGGTGTCATGTCTGTTCTCTGGGTAGGGAGGTGTCACATTTCTCCTGTTTCGATCAACCATTTTGATCACCCCTTCCATTAAAAGTACAAAGGATTATCTTGTTGGGGGTCACTGGGGGAGGTGTGACGTGCTGCATGCAAACCCATTTCTGCGTAATCAGTTATATCTGATACAATTTCTTGCTACTGATCGAGGACAGTATCAGTTTGTACCCCAGGACAAGGTAAAGATTAATTCAGAAATGGAAAAATGAAAATTGTTTTATGGAAGACTTATACAATTGTTTTCTTTGCATAAATTGTTTGCAGAGATTTGTCTTAGGTTCATCAGCACGATATGACGTAAGAAACGGAGTCTGACTCAATGGTGCAGTGCCAACCAAATTTGACGATATCTCCCTTTCCATGATCATTATTTGTCTTAAAACCCATGCATTAACACTTTGTCTTTATGTCTTTTCCGCTGTCCTGGTTGTTTTGCAGACCCGCCGAGGAAAACCAGGCGAGAAAGGACCACCTTTACCCGGGCGCAACTCGATGTCCTTGAGACGCTCTTCAGTAAAACGCGCTACCCAGACATCTTCATGAGGGAGGAGGTTGCCCTGAAGATCAACTTACCAGAGTCAAGAGTACAGGTAAGAAGCTAGACTTGTCTCTTCCAAACTGATCGCATTTCACACTTTTTTCAATTAGGGTTCATCTCACATAATTCGATTTTCAACTTGTGTGGGTGTCCTATACCGCCCTCTTGCGATAAGGCCACGGACGGTTGAAGAAAAGGGAGTTCCAGGAATTAAAGCGTAGGGTATCCGTGACAGACATGCCAACTGCAAATTTTCTTGCCGCCAGATCCTCCGTGTCAACGATTTCACACGATTTACTTGCTCCGTAAGCTAAGCAGTCGCGGAGACTTTCTGGTCCCTAATTGGTATCGAGCCCCCTTCAGAGCCGCGGTAATTAATTTTTTTAGGTCGGCAGACTTGTCCAGGTTTAGGGGCGGGGACGTGCCGTGTCTTCGCCCAGAGAAATGTCATCGTTTCCCCGTGACTGATTCGCTGTGCAGTTGTTGATGCCCTGGAACGGAAATCAATTGCTCGGCTCTCGGATACAATCGAAATTGACACTTGTGCGGGCCACCTATGACTTTAAGGCAGATTTGCCATGCAGTCAGTTCCCAGCACTACCATCCAAATCGCCTACAATTCGTCAACAAAGTTAGCTGTTTGCGGTAGAAATTCACCGAAATTGAAAGCGAAAAGCTGAAGTCGTCGGGTGTTACCCCTTCGACAAAACTGTACACTTAAATATTTGATAAATTCCGATTACTGAGAGGATACTGTAATTGCATGTGCTCGTTGTATAGGAACACAGGCGTATGTCTATGGGTTGTTCTTTCAGCTGTCCTAACTACTTTTCCGGATTACTTCACCCTTAAAGCACTACCTCAGGGGTGAAGCTAGGGACCGGATCGATCCCAGCGTCTTTAATCCCGACTTTTGTTTTGTGGGGTAGGTGTACATTTAAAAAGAAGCTGAAAGGTTTCGAGCCGTTACGCAGGACGGCAGAGAAGGCAGAGCGGGGGTGATGACTTGGAATGAGGGAAGGATGGAATGGTACACCTTTGATGCAGTAACACCCCCTTCCACCCCACCACATAAAAGTATCGGTCGTGTAACATGTGAGAATATTTATCAATTGTGTCGGGGAGGCTTGGTCTATAAGGCCCGGGGAAAATTTGGAAGCAGCTCAATACCCACCAATCACATTGTTGAATGATGGAGGTGCAAGACTGGCCCGGGGGCCCCATGGGCTTTGACTAGTTCGAACAGACCTAATTAGCTCTACCCTGCAATAGAAAAGGGAGGCCTTGTACACCAGCCCTGTGCGCCAACGGGTTGGGGTACAATTATAAAGGGGCGCGGGGTTTGTACTTATTGACCCCTGTGCTCCTTGAAATATGCCTCCTTACCTCGTTGGCTCGACTTGCATCCCTCTAAAATAATAGGAAAAAGGTAATCCTATTCGAGTACTTCACCACAGTCGACAACGAAATGCTACACCGTCCAGCATGGCAGTAATTTCGGGGAGTCATGTCCATCCCGTGTCACTGTTTAATTGGTGTCTTGGCTTCAATGGCATTTTGATATTAAATACATCTTCCTGAAAACTTCACTTGGCAGAGCAAGAAAGATTTCTGGCTGAATGTCTCAGCTACAGTCCCACTCCTGTCATATTTATTCAGCACAGTTTAACCTTTTCGTTCCGCAACCCTTTTTTTTAAACGATGGACCCCCCCCCCCAAAGAAAGTGAGTGCATTATTGTGCCTTTCCTCATGGTTAGGCCTTTTCTGTGGTTAGAATGATTGGGCAGCAGTACCGTTTCCTGGCCGCCGGTGTTTACCCAGCGATGACTGCATTCACCCCTTCCCTGTCCACGTCGGTCGGGTCTTTGACGGTCGGCATTTTTTGTGGGTGTCCTGCGGTCATCAGCAAGAGGCGAAACATCACATTCCGTCCACCGAGTTTTGTTGGTGAGTCGGTCGCGCTTTCTGCAACGGTTGAAGTTGTCTGCAAAATGACCGCACTTTTCAGTCATTTTTATACCGGCACGCAAAGCCTTCGTCATGATCGATTAAAATCCAATTGGTTATAATCCACGAACGAAGGTATACAAATCGTGCAGATATCCCAAATGCCTGCCTCCGAGAACCCCCCCCCCCCCAAAAATGAAAGTCCAGTATATCTTGCGATCTGAATACCCATGGGGGACTTTGCCAGGTGTTCTTATTTTCTAAAGAGGAATTTGACAAGAAGCTCTTGGGAGCTCATTCAACATTTGCCCCCTCTTACAGCCCCCACTTGGCACATGAGAGGGCTCCCCTTGATGGCCCCACGACCCATTAAGACCCTCCAAAAGTCACTTTTTCACCCAGCTTGAACAAAGAACGGCACAACATCGGGAGAATGCAGCCCTGTCTTCAACGCATTTGTTGCTTTATTCATCGTGCCGGGGACGGACACCAGACAAGAAGAATTTTGCGGCGCACCTGTGTCGTTAGTCAATTACAGAATTCCCCCCTTTATTTTTTACACTATCTGCATTAAACAAGAAACATTGAAATGAAGTCTTCCTCTCCACTCGATGTACTTCTAACCCTCCTCGTGTGATCAGTTCAGCGGATGTTGCCAAATGAAGATCGAAATCGAAGACGTTACAGGGCCTTGAGGCATCAATGTTCTCGCAACCAACATGCAGAGGAGAAAATCGATCAATTGTTTTTAGAATAATAATGGAAAGATCCCGTTTGGTAAAAACACATACATGTGAACATGATTGTGACATCATTAACATTAGTTTGCTGCAACAGCAATAGCACATTTGCTCCGCAACCATTGGCGAGCATTTCACCGAACTCGGGAAAAGACAACGCACTCTATGGGCAGTTTCAGAATAAGAATACAGTTACTTCATGTGCCTTGGTACTTTCGTTGAATGAAAGGTTCAGAAGTGAGCATTTACATTGGTTACAACACTGCAATGCTGTCGACCTCAAAACAGTCTCTCAGCTGTCTTATATAAAAACCATAAGCATAGGCCTACATGTAGATCGTTTCCCCTTGCCTAGTCACAGCTGTATTTGATTTGGTAAAGATGTAAAAAAAAATTCGGAGATCTTCGGAGAAGAAAAGAGAAGAATCTCTTTCAGTTCTACTTCACCCGATGGTGAGGTAGCATCGAGAGACCACTTAACAATTGTAACTTGGGACCACTGTTCGTCATTGTCGCAGCAATTCACGGAAAACAGGAAGACCGACCAGGGTTCATTTCTTAGTCTGTCAGATATGTTTATCTCAAGTGGCCATCACTAAAAGCTACTGATGTAAACGAGACGGCCGAACAATGAAACTGGTCATCAACCCATGTTCGAAGTCCGACCGGGCTCTGGGGCGCGCAGTGCCCAACCCACCGCGTGTCCGAGGAGTTTCCACCAGGCGTTTTGTTGGCTCTTTTTTATCCCGTGGTTGCCCCTATCGCCACGCCGTCGCCATTGCAATGTTTGTCCGCACACATTAGGCGTCGACGCTATATAATGTTAGGAGGCGGCGGTGTCTGTTTTGTTCAGGTGTTCAAATTCCAGTTGTAAATGCGCAAGCGAAGTGCCAACAACCCTTTCTCAAGTGGCCGAGGAGATGGGTTGGTTGCATAATGGGAGCAGAGCTTTTATTCGCCCCCCCCCGTGATGGAGTGGAAGGACTTGAATTGACAAGTGAATAATTGATTGTTGCATCATGAACAAAGTACGCTTGAAAGAAAGACATCGAACAACTCACAGTCAGCATGCATTCTTGCAATTCTCAGTCAACTAACGTGAACATGTTTTATCAAATGATCTAGAATAGTAGAGATTTGGTGTATTTTGTTCTTAATGTGGTGACCTGCATGTGGCGTATGGTCCGTGGTGTGACTTCTGGACTTCGTGTTTAATTTTGCCCTCTTTTGTCAACAAGGCAGCCATTAGCAGGATGGTTACGTAACGCTCGTCCAGAGTGTGATCGATAGGGCAAATAGACTCAGTCAAGTGCCAATGTCACTATTTTAGGGTGCCAGCCACTTCTTAATGGATCTGTTTTGCCCAAGGTCTTTACGTCGCATTGTTCGGTCGGTTACCATGGCCGGTTCTATGTTCGCTCGATTTGGCCTTCATTTGCGAGCTCAAATTCGTGAACTTTGACTTATGCAGCCCAACACCGATGATAACAGCAGTATTAACTCAACATCCTACTTACTACGGGGAAATTCCAGGTCTTTGTCTTTCCTTTCATTGGCTTCCATTTTTCATATGGTTCGTGATAAGATTTAACTTGTAATGCCCTAAAAACCTTGAGAACAGGTTCAATTGTATTCTCAATCTCTCGTTGAAATGGCTTTCCTTTAATGAGAACACCAAATTCACAAAGTCGGGAGGAAAAGTAAGGAAACTGATAGCTAAAATGTTGAATTGTCAACGAAATTACTACGGAACTGCCAGTAGATCGAATAATTTCCGTCATGATAACAGCTCCATGGTTAAAGTAGAATCGTTCTATGAAATTAACGGTGAACATCCAACTCTGTTGATAGCCACGGTTGATTTACAGGCGATGTCAACAAATCATCTAAGTTTACTCGTTTGTATGTTCCCGCCAAAAAAGGGACGCAGTCGGCGTCCATTTCTGCACCATTACTTTCATTTCCTCTTTTCTTGCAAAAGTCGAGAGGAGAATCGATACTGTCAATATCCGGCATTAATTCGCTTTGGCAGTCTCGTTACTCCTCATGCATGACGTGCGCGCTTCAAAATGCAACAGGAATCATCGGACAGAAACGAAGAGAAAACTACACCTTACTACGCGGTTGTGTCAATTCTCGGGATTAATTCAAAGCTTTTGTTCTCTCTTACCATTTCTTACCACGCCCTTACAGACAGGACTGCTGTAATTAAAATCGATTGGTCTGAGGTACGGTGACGCAAAAAAACCACAGTGCTACACGTGGTTTACGCTGTGCCGGGGGTTCTTCCTCGTTACATCATTTGAAGCAAGATATGGGACGGATAGAACCCCCCGCCTTTGTGTTGGTCATTGTTTGATCGGAATCTCAGGAATTCTTTACAGACTTCTTGGGGGGATGTGTTAGGTAACAATAGTCTAGAGTGTGCATAGGGATTGGACAGGTAAGGGGGGTACCCCTCCGTCCCACAATCCTTCAAGTTTTCATCTCGTCTTTTGTCTCTTCTGCAGGTGTGGTTTAAAAACAGGAGGGCGAAGTGTCGCCAACAGGCCCAGCAACAGCAGAACGGTACGCCCTCCAAACCCCGCCCCGTCAAGAAGAAGTCACCATCCAGAGACACGCCTCCCAGCAGCGACTCCTCCCCCTCGTACAAGTCCCTGCCCATCACCTCCATGCCTAACAACAACAGTATCTGGAGCCCTGCCTCCATTCCTCCCCCACCGCCAATGGGCGAGTCCATCTCGTCCAATAACAGTTGTATGCAGCACCAGTACTCCATGGCCAACGCCCACCAGGGTGCCTACGGCCAGGGTTACCAATCAGCTCCCTACTTCGGCAACCCCATGGACTACCTCCCGGGCGTGCCGCAATTCCCAGCTGGTACTCTGAGCCAGATGACGTCATCGATGAACAGCCCCCACATGAGCACCGCCCCCTCACAGCTCACTCCCACACATCCGAGCATGGGTGGGTCTATGCCAGGCGCCAGTGCGGACTGTTTAGAAAGTAAGGACCCCTCGTGGAAGTTCCAGGTCCTGTAGCTACCCAACGTGTTCGGCATTTGCCTAGATTTAATGAACAGGACACACTGAAGTCCACCCCGTAGACAGCGATTACTGCAACAAAGTTTCTTACAAGTCCAGTACCAGTTTTGTTTGAGGCTGACGTTCCATACGTCACGTGGAATCATCGAAGCTTATAGGAGAGCGCCCATTTTGAGGCCACGGACAAGAGACATGAAGACGCAGAAACCTGCTAATTTTTCATTCAAGTGGCCCACAAAATTTGACAGCTTTACCGAGTCACACAATTTCTTGAGGGTTCAACTCGCAGTGACTGTAGAGCTCAGGCGCCAAGAATGCAAGGAACAGGTCTTCGGTCGACTGGGATTCGCCGTTCATTTAAGGATTGATAAATGGTAAAAAAAAAACCGAAGTGAAAGTATTTAAGAATTTTCTTAAAAGTACTGAGTTGTTTATTGACGGATACCTTGTATACGACTTGAAAACAATGTCTTGCTGACAATCGCCGAAATCACAGGCCTACTAAGAGTGAAGTATGTAAATTGAACGATTAATCCTGCTTTAACGTTTCATCTTGAAGTAATCTTCCCCGTCCCTTGTTTCCCAGCCATAATTCTTGTTCTTGGAATTGACAAGGGTCCTGAGTGGCTGCCAAAGATGGTTGAGGAGTCAGATTGCGTAAATACTTTGAACTGTATGTGTTTCATTTCCAAATGATAAACATTCGTCATTATTACAATTAAGCCCTTCCAAATGAAAGAACCTAACTGAAGAAAATTGTGAACCAGCACTCGAGATTGACTCTGTTGGTGTAAGCAGGGGCAAATTCGGACAAAATACAGGGTTCTTTAAATTGTAATATAGGCAACGTGATATTGAGAGCGTATGTTTTGTAAATGCATTTATTTGTATAAATTTCAGATACATCATTGTCGCTTCGTACAGGGTATATACCATTTTTTAAATTTACGTTAATTGCACGGGCTGTCACATGGGGGCGTGTTCAAGGGTGCACGGTTAGTGTCTGTAAACCAGAGCAACCTCTGCATTCGGTTTCCTCAATCTGATCACAAATCCTTCGAAAGGCACCTCCGAAACTCGGCAGAAAACTGGACGTTAAATGTTCAGGCTGTGGAGGTGCAGCCGCACTTGCAGTGGCTGTTCAAGAATTCGGCACCAGACTGTCTGATTCGAATTGTTTCAGTCATTTGAAGAAAAAAAATCATGAATCGCATATCTGAAGGCTCTGCCATCCAATTCTATAATATTGGAAAAAGGACTCCGCTCTTAATAATACTAGTAGTTTTTAGCTTCTTAATAACGTGTGTGTTGTGCTCAATTCCGTAGACGTCTCAATAGATTCTGACTAACACCTTTTGAAATAAGAACTGCGTTGACAGGAGCGGTTCTTTCTCTGATTATTTATAATTTTTTCTCTCTATTTTTTTTGTAAATATTGAAGATAATTGGTACACTTGTGGATAGCTGAAATCACGGATGAACTCAGTCGAATCTGTACGCGTAAAGAATGTAAACATAAGTTAGATTGTAAAAAAAAGGGTTCCGTATCTTTATGGGCCTGTTCTTTTGTAAATTATTGAAGAGGTTTGAAAAAATACAGGGTTAAGATGTTAAAGTGTATAGAAATGTTCATTTCGTACAGTTATTTTGTCGAGAAAATTGGGATGATTATGGTTATATTTCCAAGGTTTCATTTTTTTGGTCCCAGAATATGCTTCTTTGCAGTTTTCCTTTCCTTTTAAAAAGTCACGTTGGCTAATGTTAAATGTTGTAACCTTGAAGCGCACCGTATCTTTAAAAAGTCCTTAATGTGTTATTTATGGTAACGTTCACGAATGTTGTTATTTTATTTTGCACTGTAAAATTAAACAAGAAATCTCAAAGGGATAGTTTTTATCAGTTTGTGTAATGAATGTTTAGTTATTTCATCGAGTCCAAATAGAAGGAGAGGGGTTGAAAAGCGAAATACAAGGTCATTCAGGTATGGATCAATGTGTTTGTATTTAAACGTGTCTCCAAAACCTTTTCCCCAGATTTTGATAACTTTCCCATGATCGTGGATAACGCCATCGATCGTGGTGGGGGCGTTTCTACTTGTAGATCTGAAAGCTTTTTATGCATATGCATGTACTTATTTTAGGAGCTATAACAACCGCAAATGGTCACAGAGCTTTTGGCAGTGATTGTATTGTAAGACAACATGAGAAACCTCGGTTAATTGTTTAACTGCGAAGAGCAGAAAGAGAATGACATTAACTTGAAACTAGACAGTGCATTGGTATAACTTTGGTCAGTTAAGTCCAAATTAAAAGAAAATAATCAGTTCAAGTTTGATATTGTGTAAGTGATCTTTTCTTGCGTTCTTTTCGCGCCATGCATTGTTCCATTGTCTAGGGGTTTAAATATTATTATTACATGCAATATTTCCAGTTCAGAGGAAGAAACTTTTCTTGATGAAATACTACTTTGTCTTAATCGGGAATGATAATGTATCCCTTTTTGTGATTTTTTTTTACCAACTTGATGCCCTCCGCCATATTACGAAAATGTTGGTTCGTACGGTTGAACAATTAGGGAGAGAAAAAAAATCAACAAATTTCAAACATCTGAACAGGTGTTTTTTTTCTTTCTGCATGAGTGTTTATTGTTTGAGAAATGACCTCAATTCCGAGTACTACTGTTTTACATATTTAATAATATTTATCAGTGATTCGTTTTCTGTCATGTTTTTATCTCCTCAAAGTGCTGAGTAAGTTAACGCTACAACTTGCTTGACTTTTAACATCAATCACTGTACACTATGGATTTAAAGTCATGTAAATTACATGTCAGGAAATGCTTTATGCATTCAAGAGAAACGGACGCGTTTGAATGAACAATAGCCGCTTCATGGCTCAATGTTTTGTTTAACAGTATCCAAAGTGACATTATTCAGTTTCCGAGAAACGTTCACGCCCACTGGCCCAGTTGAAAGCAACAAAGATGAAGTTAGAAGACAAGCTGCGATTTGTCATCCACCCCCGGTGACTGTCTCCCACGAGCCCAGCCCCCAAACCAACCCTGGCCGTGCCTGCCAAGAATTAACCGGTGGACGCTACGGGAACAATGCGTCGCTGACCCCTCGCTCAGCTTGATACGGACGGAGTGGGTTTTCTTTCTTCCCATAATCGATTGGGGACGATAGCTTGGGCATGCTTCTTTGAGCGTGGAGACAAAAGGGCAAGATCTTCTCAAGCCTGTTGAGAATTGTTCGAGGCTCTTGTTTTACATCTTGCAGCAAATTTCTGCTGCTTGACCAATCAAAGATCACTGACACCATTTTGAAGTTTTTAACTATACACCATATAGGCCTATACAGGTCCAGATCTGTCTTATTTAAGCGTCCTTTTCTTTTCAAAACGCTCGTTTTTTTCGACTTACTTAGGGCTGAACAATATTATTATTGCAGTCCCTGTACATTTTCGAAATGTGCTCATCAAAGGATCACCGTTTTAGAATGTTCACCTGTGACTGCAATACGGTGAGAAAACAAGGCATCGAAAACGATGATTTTGATGCTTTTAAGTTGGAAGAACCCTTCAGAATTTCAGTGTTTAATCACTTTTCTTACAGTCCTCTACAGTGCGCCCTCTTTTGGCAAGTTCGAACGTACCTGCCTGTCCTCCGTTGCTCACGCGCTATAGATGTGTATATATGTTTTTGATGACCCTAATCAAACTGTTTTCGAGATATCAACGTCGATCGTTAGTTTCACTTTTCAGTGTTTCAAAGTACATTGTAACATGGCCGCTGCCATTTCGCATAGTTATTTTCAAATCAGTGGTCCCCTCTGTTCTTAATTAATAACCATGAAAGGCTGCTGATAACCAGCCTGGACCGTGCACCCTGAGCCCCGTGGTCTGCTTCCTAAAGGTCGACTAAACTCAGCAACCTGACTATCCTTCGTTCAAATGTCCTAAGTCAAACTTTGATTGCAATAGTTAACACTCAAACTTGCTCTTTAATGACCTGACGATTCCCAGAAGTTTTGAATAGATTTTTACGATAACGACAGCTCCAAAGTAGCATATATGCAAACTGCCGATCATCCGAGTGCATACTTAGATCGCAACACCTAAACGGGCTTCCAGTCCGACATTTGTCTGAAAATTAATCTTGCTCACTGAAACGAATTAAAATGTGGGCGTGACAAGCATTTCTGTTGATCAGTTAAGTTTCCCACCTGCACATGATTACAAGACTACAGTCTAGATCCGGTGGCGATGACCCAATGCAAATTTTGCTGTTCTTTCACACAATAACATGTCGCAACAAGCAATTTCGACTGAATTCACTATTTTCCACAACCAATCCGAGAAAAGATACACTGAACGGATTTTAATTTTTGTGCGCGGTGCTTCCGAAATAAATATCGAGAAATATTGCGGCCGTTGGTGGCGCCCTATAAACAATACGGTCTCTTGTTACACGTTTCACAGCACTGATTTGGTATTGTATTCTTGTCTATGTCCTGATTACGGTGCTACGCAGCCCTTCCATATTTCACAGTCTCTTGTTCAATTGTCATCTTCTTTGCAGCAGCTGCAGTAACTTCTTTTGGCTTTCTACGGCTTTCCACCTGTTTCTACTATCAGCATCATGTGTATATTATTGAATGAAGGATATTTTTCAAATTGTCATTTTTAAAAAACATTTTACAAGTTTCGATTTGTTTTTCTCTTTCTTTTTGATCCGTTGCGCCAAGTTTACGGAAACAGGCTTACCAGAAACACTTACACCTAGACAAAAATACCTCTCAAGTTGATAGATGTCGTTTAGAAAATTCCTATTTTAATGGAATATTCGGGCTGTGAATACTGAAACATATTCAGAGGACGGTTATGGTTGGTTTCAGGCTTGATTTCCTTTCGACGTCATTTCCATCACATTTTCATGTAACTTTGTCAAGAAAAACTTATGTCAAGATGAACTACTGATTATTGACGTCATAATGATAACAGCAATAAGTAGAGAGACAAACATTCCAGCCACTATTCCTCGACGAATGTCAGAGTCAAGGCAACAGAACTTGGTGGTTTGTGTTCCAGTGAGAAAGTTGGAGGGGCTATCCATAAACGGGGCCAACTCCGACCTTGCCGGTCGGTGAAATTCACGGCGTGATGCACGAGCAATGTACGGTGAACATGGACCAGGACTTCTCGGTTGCTGCTCGATGGGATGTGACGATGCTTCGGCATCAGATGACACCTGTGTCTGGTCGGAGTTGGAGATGATGATGCAAGTGATGAAACGGCCAGTGACATGGTCAATAGCCCTGACGTCATCGACACCTCTGCCCTGCGATACCAGATCTGGTAGCCCTCCCTTCACGTGCTTTGTCGGGTCCCCCTTATCGAATCGTGTTCTTCGAAATGTGTCACTTGACCGTGCCAAGTTATCGTCCCAGCTACACTGCTTCGAAGCACGGCCGTTATCCTCTTCCAGTACACTGCAAAAACGGGACCTGATAATGCAATTTTTGAAAATAAATAAGTTTAAATTCAGTTCATTTACAGCTTCACTATACCCTGGCTTTGACAGAAAATGCCATGGAAACTAACAATAAATTTTATCCATCTTAGAAATCTAACACAATAATTCAATCCAAGTACTCTGACATGTTACTCGACTGTCACAAAACGACAGAGCGAAGAGCTAATAAATTATGATAGAATCACCTGGATGTTCTATTCAAGTAGTCATATTCTCGACGGTACATTTGGATGAATTGCGCCCTCTTGCGAAACCTCCTCTTTGCCGCCTCGTCCGTCCAGAGTGAGGGCGCCCTCGTAGCTCCACCGTCCTGTTGTTTGAGTCGCTCCCCGTGTACTGCCGTGTACTCGCATCGTTCGTGACAGCGAGGACAGATGACGACAGCAATGTGTTCAGGCAGGATAGAGACCGGATGGCTGCCTGGGTCCGGTAGAAGAGATAGTAGACATTCCTTGCAGAACTGATGGCCACAACGCAGACTCACGGCCTCAATCAACGAGGCTGACTGGCATATCTTGCAGCCGTACATTTGGCTCGGAAATAGTCCTTTCCGTCAACACCGAGAAGGGGTTGCGCGAATTTGAGAGGCAGACATGTTGGTTTTCATGAATTGTGACCATTATATGTAACTGAGTATATTGTGACCATCATTTCGCTCCTAGAACCTACTATTTCCACCAGTAACAAAGCTAGATACTGATGTGAACTTGAAAGATGTGGGCTTCTGCAATATGCGTCATCTTGGAATAAATGCTAGCGCTATGGCGCGCACGCTGATACGCAGACAGAAAAACAATTGTCCCCTGGGTTTAGTTTTCTGTCTGAAATTGAGTTTCCTTCTCTATCTTTTAATAAGATAATGCACTTTTTTGCAGCGAATTCTTGACTTATGCATATACTTTAAGGGTGAAAGTGTACGAAACTCAGCAGCTCTATGAAACAAAGTCACGCTGCCTGAATTTACATCCTCCGAAATGAAAGACACCACGGCGCTTTTACTATTGACTAGTACAGGTGATTCAGGATATTGTAGGTGCAGAAGTTGTTCGCTCTGGGTCAGTTATCCTCCGAAATGGATGCATGGGTCACCAGACTACTCCCTCCCAATCAGAAACGACAGCAGCAGCACCGGTCTTAAACAAGTTCGATCAGCGACAAATCGTCACGATGGTCGAAGTTACCTGTGCATAAACAATATACCGGGTACGGGCAAAATCGACCAGTGGGTAAAAGTTGTCGCAAATCGAACTCACCCCTAATGTTTTCTTGAAATCAATCAACACACAAGAAAGTCAGTTAAGCAGGAAACTGAGAATCTATCTTGATCATCAAGTAGCATAGCCGAGGGGAAGCGCAGTGGCAGAATGCAGTGCACTGGAGAATGCAAAAATAAAATCAGGACGGTGATTGGAATAAAAAAAACAGGGAAAGCTAAAATGATTTTGATTTTGAATCAGGACGGTGGAAGTCAATCAGAAATGCAAAACCTGATTGATGGAAACAGATGATTAACCCTAACCCTCCTCAATCCTTCACCTGTTGGAGGAGGGTTAGGGTTAAAGCACTGAGTAGACTGTGTCCCCCTATATTCCCCAAATCGACTATAACCTTTTAAAGCTTCTTCATAGCTTGTTATTTGCTATTACATAGTAATTACCAAAACAGTACCACAATTCTACTTTGCAAACGGAAAAACAACTCTTGCCTCGCGCCTGATCTAATAGCGACTTCAGACCCCACCACTCGCACAAGTTTTCTTCGAAAGTGCGTGAGGAAAATGGAAACTTTACATCATTTTCATGGAAAACTTCCATGCCAGTACATTACAATCCAGGTATGACCAAAAACAACCGGTAACCCCGAATGGAATGGAAATATTCCATAGAAATCAGTATAACGGATCAATACGTTTAAAGAGCAGTTTGCTGCGAGACACAATTAGTATACAGCTTGTCTTTGCATCTTTCTTGCAATTTTGAATAACTTTTCACAACTACCTGGGAACTTTCTTTGATTATTTCAATTGGCTTGGTGTTTTTTACGTTCATTATACATGGGGGGATCTCCATTGTTGAATTTAATCAAGTTGGGGCCTCTTTTGTTAGGATTGGCAGTGACGCCTGGTCAATCTCGTCTTGTGGACCATTGTTCCTTGCTAACTCAGTTTCATCTTGTGGTCAAGAGAGCGTCCAGACTGACAGAGAAAGAAGGGATGTCAATTCCAAAAGAGAAGGAGTCATTTATAAAGGAGGAGAGTGAACTACAAGGGGGAATCAACAAGAAAGACAGCATCAGCTTGATTGTACGAATGTTGTGGGTTACCGCTGAACGGCCAGTAATTGTACTGCATTCACTTCCACAGCTTTGTTAAGACTGAGCTCAGTAATTAGCAAATGAACACATTATAGTGAGCCCTAAAAAGATTCATATCGGAATTACCAGACTTACATTATTTCTCAGCTTTTTTCAGAGAGTGAATAAAATGTTACAATTCCACAGAAAGTCTCGTATAGCAGCGCCACCTACCTCAGCCCCCATTCCAATTACATGTACATGCAATCAAAATGCTCCCTTGTATAATCTTTCAATTCCAAAGAGTAAAAAACTATTCTGTTCGAGGGAAAATTCACTCCATCTGACTGAAACTAGGGACAAAACGAATTCGACTAAAGTTTTCTCACTTGATCTTCCTTTCACTCGAGTTCCCTTGGGTGGTGGCTTTTTGTGTTACCTCTTGATCTGAAGTCCGTAACCTGAGGTGTCTCCATTCAAACTATTTATGTCTTCTCGAAATCGTCTAGTCCTTTGAACAGAATATTCTAAATTGTTCAGCTTTAACTCATGTTCCTTTTTTTATTCACAAAGAATCCCCCAGATAACAGTCCCACTTGATTCTTTCTTTTAAAATGGAGAATCTGAAATTCTAGAAAATTGTCATATCATCTTTTTAATTTTTGTCTTTTTTAAAATATCTGTTTTGCTTATTTCGCACATCTTTTTCAGCGTTAGATGTGTGAAATAATGACGATCACATTTCAAGTTTTCCCCATTACTGGAAAAAGGAAACTACAAAAACTGTAAATAACAGAGAGCTACTTAAATTTGTTCTGAACATTCCCATCAATCCAAGAAAAGCATGATTTGGGCTCAGAGGTTTCCTGATATTAACCAATTTTTCTTCGTTTCCAAGTTTTTATTGGAAAACAGTCACAGACTTAGGATATTAAAATGTTAGGTTTCGGTTTAAGAAGACGATATTGTCAAGGACATTTGCTAGTGTGTCTATAGACATTCTGGATTAAAATTAAAACACAGTCGACAATCTCACAGAAAGGAACACCTGTTTCCTGTAAGTTGAAAATCGTTCTTTTTCAAAAATCGACTGCTCATTAAGAGAACAAATTTTAACCGGGATTATGCCTTTGACTCCTGCATAAGGCGCTATTGTGTTCTTATCAGATGATAACAAATCTGGAGGGAGATGAATCATTATTGGCCAAGACACGGGCGTTTGCAGCCTGCCATTGTTTTGTCAGTCAATACCCCTAATGATTCCCCCAGGGTCAGGGATTCACACCTTTCGCTCGCGTGCCCGGACCTGTAGTAACCCCCCCCCCGCCATCCCGAATCATGCCCTTAATTGTTTATACTAGATCAAGCCCCTATCAGGGACAACACGTGGTCTTTAATCGACCACGGACACACGCCCCTCCAGGTAGTTATTGACTTGGAGGTTTTCAATTGCTTGGGGTGTAAGCTTGACCCCCATTCAGTGCAGACAGGGGTGCAGGTCCAGACAAAGGGAGTCTGGTAACCGCAGGAGCCTTGCACATGTACAATGTTGAGTATGAGCGCGGGAAGCTGTCGCTGGTACTCGCCAAATTTCTCTCGGCAGTTGACCCGTCAGCATCGCAACTCAGCGCGCAGCCCTGTTAGTCAGCCATACTACATGATTGCTTCGTGCTCGCTTCTGCGAAACTCCTCTCGAATCCTTCTATTTTTGTCCCAAAGGACGATCAACCAGGGGATACTTCCCACACCAATCTGTAAGTATTTTTAGCTTATTGCTCGTGTTGGCTTCATCACTGGTTTATACATTTAGGAAAAGAAAGATTTGCTCTTTGTTTCGTATTCGTGAAAACGTGAAGCCTAATGCCTGAATCGATCCATGGAAACACGCGAATCTCTTTTGCAACAGCACTCCGTGAACGAAGTTCAAGTATTTTCCTTGTTCTGACGAAACATGATTGTGATATACTAAAGATAAGTTGAGAATTGGAACAGCAGTATGAAGATTGATAAAAGTCGATCAGCCCATTTCTCGAAATGGATCAACTGTTGTTGTTCGACGTAATCACACCCGTTTAGACCAGAGCTCCATACTCATGCCCGAACGTGTTCACATTTTTTTAAGTACATGTACACTTCCGCGTTTCATCGTCCAGTGGTTTTCTTTGTGGTTGTTCTGATTTGAATTGAAAGCTTTTCTTCTCGGATTCAAAATTTGAAATGAACTTATTTTGTGCAATCCGTTTGTGCCATCTTGGTCCTTTTTTATAGCTCCATGGTGCCATGTCATATGCAGGCAGCGCACTTGAATCTTATTTTCGATCGTTATTCCCTTTCTGGAAACTCTGCGGCGTCATTACAATCCACATTTCTCCGAACAAGCAAATAACACAGGATGAGAGATAAATTGTCCTACTTTTGACATAAATGTTGAACAATTTCACATTTTCACACTGCATCATGTCGATGCGATTTCATCCGCCCGTCAAAATGGCGGGACAGTAACCGGCAATAATGTGCCGTTTACTGTACGTGTACGTGCGCTGTGATATGGCGCGACATCGTGCACTTTGTTCGTTGGCACCCAACACACGTACACCATCAAGCACGAAGGTCTTGACCTGTTATGACGTGTGTCGTGTTAAGCATGTCGCAACTGCGTTTGTGTCCTAATGTGTCAACCTGCCCTACAGGGCTGTTTTTCTGATAAATCAAGCGTTAGTTTCGGGCATGCTCTTGTCTCATTTAGCTGAAGTGTGACTTGTTTCACTTTAAGATCAGATCACCCTCAAAAAGCAATATTTTCTCTACGCCGCAACGCTCCGATTTAAGTGTGGCGGGAATCGTCTTGAAAAAGATCTTTTGGACAAAAATCATTCGAGAAATGCTGACGAATCATAGATTTGCGGTACATAAACATAGAGTCGTCACTGCTATGAGATTATAGATAGAGGGGTTGCGGCAAATGTGCATTTAAATCACTGGAACTCTTTAACAATTGCCAACCTTATCGTTTAATCTCATGGAACAGATTTTTGTTTATTTTTCTCGTCACTAAATAATCTTTCTTGTCCGTCTTTGCAGATCGTCATGAGTGTTAACGTCGTGAGTGCGTCTCAAGCTGCCCTCAACCCAGCAGCCACGGGGTCACTGTTCTCCTGTAGTCGGTCAGATGTCCCGTGCCATCACTTCTGTCTGCGGCACTCCGAGCCCCTCAAGCAGGAGGTTGAGGAGTGGTTCATGACCGACGAGGTTGAGGAAGAGAATGGGGAAGACGAGAAGGGACAGGAGTCGTCGGGGTCTGGGGAGGATTTCAACAGGGACATGATGGAGGAGGGATTGCTCGACCAGCTGCTAGACGAAGCCTACGCCCACTACTACGATGAGCCGGATGAGTGGGAGGAGCTGGCCGACTGGTACACCAATCGCATGATCTCCGATGGACCGTTTGACGACGAGGAGGAGACGGATCAGCCATCCAGCACGTCGGGTGCCGCTCCGGAGAGAGGCTTCCACCCGGCTTGGCGCCAGGAGCCGGTGGGCACGTCCGGTGCCTCATCGGCGGCATCAGCAAGCCCCAGCGGGCAGACTCGGAGATCGAGCGAGCCCGAGGTGGCGGGTCACGGCCAGGCCCGCGGAGTCAAGCGGCGAGATTGGGCAGGGCTGGTTGACGAACAGGAACGCGAAGAGGAGATGGAACTCTCGACGACCAGCCAGCAAAACCGCCGAGGTAGTGCCGGCTGGAGCGAAGCTGCACGAGTCCGAGAATGCGAACTGTATGAAACCTTCAATGATCTTTTCTTACCTGATCCGGAATCTGGACGTTTGTAGTAGAATCATTCTCTAATTAATTGAACTCGATGTATGCCCATCATCGTGATTTACAAGTTAGGAAAGCAGTTTTAGATGAACACTTTTGATCAGAAGATTATAGAATTCCCATTTATCAATTCGTGGTTACATCATTCCACCAGGTAAGGAGTGTATATCTTTTTGCCATGAGAGTTATTAATAACCTGATGAACACATCAGGGAGAATTGCCCTAGATTAAAAGGAGACATTGTTCCTAGTGCTGTCTGAAATGACGATATCTCTGAATAATTGTCGGTTATTGGTACTTGGTCTTCACTAATTCTAATTGTAAATATTATAAATTTTGGATTGAATATACTCGTCTGCTTATTTTTCAAGTCTCGGAATGAATAAAACAATTCAGATTTTTATGAAGCGAACCCAAGCGACAATTTGCCCATCTTAATATTTCTGTCTGTCTACATGCATCTTCATTTGTTGGAACATTTGTTAGAACTAATGTGCCCAAAGAGTAGACTTTAAGAATGCAATTTCCCACTTTTAATCGTTCAATTAATTTTAAAATGAAAGCCGTTTTTTTGGGGGGGGGTAACGACTTAGCCATTTTTAATTGCCCGCTCGAAAAAGTTTTGCCTTCATAAAGCGCTATTTTGAGAAATCACTCCTCATCTATACCCAAGAATACCGGCGTGCTGATACAAACAAACAAGGGGTCTCTCGTTTGGGTTACCCAAGACAGCGATTCGGCGTTTCCAGTCTGCTTATTTTCGGGAAAACAGCAAATTGCAAGGATTTCTGTCAAACGCATCAGCTGTTTTACCTGTTTGGGGATTAACTTCCACCATGGGTGGTCGAGTGGCAAGCAGAACAAAAAGTGTCGGGTATCCATAGCACACTAATAGGCCCGCTAATTGGTGGCTCGTGCGGCGGTTTACAAGTTGAGCGAGGGATAAATTACGGTCTATACATGTACCGACAAGTCCGGCGAGGTGTGGAATGGCTCTTTATCTGGAGGTGTGGGCGATATTCGGCAAAGTCACAACGGTGTTAATTTACGAAGGCGGTCATGCAAAGAGGGTTCAAAGCACTTATAAGACGTTGGGAAATAAGGCCTGGCTTGTTTGTTTATCTTCCCCAAGAAGGGTGTTTGTTATTTACATGTACAAGACTTTTTGGAGCATGGGAAACTTTTACATGCTGCTCTTTTCCTCCCTAGGGGTCATTCCCCTTTGCTTCGTCAGGGGAAATAAAAACACAAGCTACTTCACATAAAATATGAAATGCGGAAAGAAATTTGCACTGTGTATACATGTAAAAGCGGACCCACCTCAGAGATCATTAAGGTGTATTTAGGATGGATCACATACACCGAATTCTACGATGGTGGTGTGATTGTGTGTGTGTAAGGGTCATCATTTCGTACGTACCCCAATGAGTGTCTAATTCTGTGCACTGCACCTAGTTACAGGCACGAAGCCTGGCTTTTGTTTTCATTGAAAACCAACTTATTTTTCACTTTCGGTTAGATTACAAAATTAGGCCATACACATATTATAATAATAATCAAAATATCTTGGTTTCACTTTTCAATTTTCACAGTCCTGGCTGTGCATTCATTTCATGATGTATTTTACCGTCCCGGTTCTAAGCACCCTGGCTATGCGTCCCACTATTGCATGTGTTTCATGAACCTAAATACATGTAATTAGCCTGGGGGAGCTAAGAGTCCTGGCCCAACTCGCTCTGAAGGACATTCTTGTAAACGACTTATCCATCCATTTGATTAGTGAAAAGAAAGACTTCTGATCAACTCTTCCCCATTTCTACCAGCAACTATTTCTTTGCAAGTGCGCCCTCTAGAAAATTGAAGTCGCTTGTGAGGGAGGCGAAGGTATTTTTTTTTACCCTTGTCACTAATAAATTATTAATTGTGCGCGAATGCGCATTAACGGTCAACGCGGCAAAAGAGTAAAAGTCTTTAAGGAGTACAAAACTCATGTTCAATTCTCTCATTTTTTTCTCGCTTTTTATCCTCTGGAAAACCCTCTATATTGACATGGATGTATTAAAACTTCTTCGTCTAAAAGGCTTTTTGATACACAAAATACTAAGAACCAGAAATTACTGTCGCCCTTAACGCAAGAGGTTCTAAGAAAATAACAGGGCTCCTTTTCTTGTGTGTTGAGGAAAAAAAGAAGTGAAAATGTTTGAAGAAATGACTTTAAATGTGAACCCTTCCTGTACATTTTCAATAGTCCACTCGCGCCTTTTGCCTCCATTGCCATTACGCTTGCGTGCATAATTATGAATTTATCAATAAAAAGTGTACTGGCGCACTTTTTGTGTTTTTTTTTTCGTTCTCAAGAAATCCCACACAGGTTATGATTTTGGAACACCTTTGAAGTGCATCCTAAAATGAGCATAAATCGTGAAAACGATAACGAAACAACGAGGCTTGGATGAGGAAACGCAGGGAACAGTCTCATCTACTCTTATAATCTGATAATTTGTTTTTTTCTTTTTTCTCTCTTTCTTCTTTTTTTTTTTTTTTTTTTTGGTTTATTTAATTTAATTTTTCCTTTACCGTTTCCAAATTCTAAGTCTACGGAAGTGGGCAATGTCGCCTGAAACGAGTCGCTTCCTCCATGTGTACTACGCAAACCATATACAGATAGACTCAGTCCTATTAAAACATCCTCAACATTTGTTTATTATTTAGGACTTTGATTAATCCATAACTTAGAATCATTTATATTTTCAGAAATACAAAGTCAAGTGGTAAATTCGGAAGTATTACATAAAACTGATTCAGTTCGTGCTTTACAGCAGAGAAGAGAGGCAAGGTCGAACTAGGTCGCACCTGACAATCTAAATGAAGTAAACTCAAAGTCTTAAATCATAGCCATGTTTTTAGTAGGGATCATGGAGTAAGTTCGACTGCAGTTGAAAGACACAATGTTTCAGTGATTATGGCACCCAGCCGTCTGGAGAAGAAACTTATTTACAAATGATTAAGTAAGAGCTGAATTTTACAAAGAATATTGCTCTCCTGAAGGATCGACACAGTAACATATTTTCGTGTGATAGAGCTTGTATTAAGTTTGGTTTGGTCTCCAGTTTTTAGGTTTACAGACGCGAATCCTATGATGGGATATAGAGGAGGATTGGATATTTAAGATAGGAAAGGAAGTAAGCTGTCGATTGCTGCCGAAGACAAGCCTGTGCCAAGAAGGTCTTAGGCAGGCACCTTGAAAATGAAAACTGAACGACTGTATGTGTAATAATTATTTTCACAAGCCTTCGGGAGCATACCCTGAGTATTATAAATACACTTCGGGCAGGGCAAAAAAATCCAAAATAAATATATATGATAGCAAATTCCTCCAAAAATCCAACGTTTACAAAAAGTGAACATGCGTCACCCAACCTTACTTTACTCCCCCACTGAAGACGAAGAAATAAAGAGTTTTTAAAAAGAAGGATATTGGAAGAAAAAGCTACTATCGAACGCAAATCGGGTGGTGTATTGGTGGTGTCATACCATCCAACATTGTTTTGCAGCTCTAGTCACCTGATTTAAGAACCGACGTAATGAGGTGCTTAAATGTGAACGGAAGATGTTCTCTTCAGTTACCAGCTGCTTTTAAGGAAGTAAGCATACTCCATGAGTTTCCGTTTTGATATTGTAAATTAAGCTCCCCGCTTTCAACCCTCACCTTTATACTCAAGTTATGGAGGCAACAAAGATACAGTAGTAATCTCTTTCACCCTTTTGACGACTCCTTTAACACTTGTGGTCGCACAATATTGAAAAAAAGGGGTAAAGAATGACTTTTTACTGAAGAGGCCACGATTTTGCCTTCTTTTTGCACAGCTGGTCCTACGAATTGAACAATGCCCTCTGTTGTTGATTTGCAACTAAATGCAAAACTGCGTGGAACATACCATTCTGGTAAGGGTGGAGAGGGTCTCACCGACCTCTCAGTCGACATTACGATTCCTAGTGGAGAATTCGTCATTTCAAAATCAGGCTTTCTTCGTTAATGGTAAATACCTTAAACATTTTCTATCTGTTCATATGTTCATTTGAGGACTAAAATGTTCGACTTCATTTTGTTATCACTAACGACAACATGTGACTTAACCGCAACTGATTAATACAAAAGTCCTGAGGCCGCTGCGACGCATATGCTCACATATATGCACAGAAAACTTGTCCTGCACTGCAAGTGGGTACGAGTGCAACGATTGGTACGATAGTGAGGGTTGTACCGGTAGCTGGCTGTGAGGAAGTGGCGATTTTTTACGAAACTAATTTTCTACAGGAACCCAGCCATGGGTCGATTTTGTACCTCGCCCATTCTTCTTTGGACTGCCATCCTCTCTGTTATTTTGAGTGCTACTGGCTTGACGAGGGATAATTTCTACCCGTTTGGCGTGCAGTACGGTGACGGCCAACTAGCCGCAGGTGACGCGGTTCAAGGCACCTTGCGGTTGCGGATACCGCTTCAGTTTCTGAACGTGGAGCACGACACTGTTTACGTACGTATACCCATCAGTATCGAGTGATCTTAATCTCCCAACTCTTAAAAGAGAATTTTGTTTTTATTTTCCCGTGATCCCGCCAGAGTCTTTTCCTTTTTGGCATTGTTAGTCTTTGAACGAAGTTAGTACTCAAACAGCACATTGACATTCACAAGGAGGGTGACGAACATTTTAATAGAATTGTCTGAAATAATTCGAAATGATTTTTCAGTCTTTTTTCAGTGTCTGAATTTCAGCAAAGGTTACTTTGTTGTAAAGAAGCGGTTGCAAAATTCCTGTGACAATTCTCACGGAGCAACAAATCCCTCTCTAAAAACGAAACAAGCAGAGGTTGTGTGTCCTGTCCCGGTGCTTGACGTTGCAAATCTGTACTATGATCGCCGACTACACACCTGTGTCACTCCGCTGTGGGGAATTTGTTCTCAGATTTTACATGTTCTTCCTTTGAAAAACCAAACCTCCAGCAGTCCAAAAAGTAGGACTTACACATATAGATTTTGTAGTGAGGAAAAAAATGCACCAGGGCAGGACATATCATTGTGACAGCTGGGATACGTTGTATGGCTTGCGCCCAAGATGAGTCTTATGAAAGTCCAAAAAGGCCAACCCCACCTTAAGAGATGTCTCCGGTCTGATGAGCAAATCCAGATGTCCTGCTCATGTAGCATTTAATATTGGCTTCCAACCCCCTGGGGTGTATGTGTAAATCAGTAGTAGAACACCAGAGAATTCAGGAATGTAATTAGTTGATAGGGGTCTCATTGTGTCTTTGAAATAGCCATGATCGTAAGTTCGTACATGGGGGATAAATGTAAAGGGGGGGTGTAAGTGATGGGGTGCAAGGCAGTTATCTGGGACCTTCTTCCATTGGATTTTGTGAAAGAAAAAAGAAAGGACTCCAGGCCCACTACGTCATAAAATTTTCTGGACTAGAACACCGTTACAGCTGTGACCAAACATTACATACCGTACATGTGCATGTATGAAATGAATACGCTTGTACCCTGTCCTGTATCTTAGAGAAAATGAGCCTTGCACAATTTATCCCCCCAAATATTGGAATGGTTTGGAGATAAATACCTGCTTGTAAAAAATCCACTGCTAGGCTTAGAACCACTGGTATTGATGCGGCAAGACTTGACAGGAAATCACTTGCCTCTGTCCATCAGTTCAGAGGGTATATTTTGAACCCTGATTAGGGTGTCAAAAGTCTCAGACAAATGAACTGTCAACAGTAATAGGTCTTTAATGTGAGAGTTAGAGTCATAGCCAGTCTGTACAAGTTCCCAGTCATTTGCAAAAGTTTAGGACCAACCATACAAAATGCATTAACCTGATGAAAAACCAAACTTAATCAATCAATCAATCAATCAATCATGGAAGCTTATATTTATTTTCAATGTGTAACCTTAGTATCTTGGTTAAACAGCTATTTGACTACATTTCCAGGATCTGAAATGTTAAAAGTTTAATGTTTGGTGTGTCTTCCTTTATTTCTGATTAATTACCAGCAGATTGGCTTTTTGTACTAATGCTGCATTACAGACAACAAAGTCATACAAGACCTGCCTTTATAAAGAATTTCATTCAATGGATACATGTAGCGCTACATTGATGTTATGCAACACTTTAAAAACAATGAGATAATGTAATGCAAGCCCAGTGACAGAAATACCAATTAAAAATTCCAGGTGTAAATGACTGGACAGCTGTACGGGCAGGTGTTTGCTGTGGCTGTACATGTACATACATGTACATGCTACATTTAATGTACACATGTGTACATGTACCGGATAGATTAAGCATAGATATTGAAGTGACCCAGTTTAGTGTACATGTTCTCACTGTATTTTTTGTGTAAGGGTAGGTCAGTCTGAAATGGGGTCACCATTAACTTTTCAAATAGAGCCTGGAGCACTCAAAACAAAACAGCATTGAAAATGACCCACTTTTGGGGGTATAATCCTTTAGTAGTGGAGTTTTGGTTGTTTTCTTTACATAGAGACAGTCTTGGATTACCAGTACATATATTTGTACCTCACTTAAGGGGGGTATAGCTGCCCTAGTGACCTCATGAGCAGTTTCTGATGATATTGTGTCACCTTTTCTTCTCAGCCTTATCTAAGGTTTAGATCAGTGTCCCATTGAAACAAACACCCAAATATGCCTGAGGCAAATGGCTCACCCTTGAAACTCTTGTGTTGGTTGGCAGACTGCAGCAGGGGTCCCCCTGATGTACTGATATGTGTGAGGTGATCAAATGAATTTTGCCCAAATTCTAGTGCCTAAAACAGAAAAGAGTGTTTTCTAATAGCCTGTCATAATTTTATGTAAAGTCTAATAGTACATTTACTCAAAAAAATTGATGTTGTATTCTGTGTCCCTCTAACCTTCTTAATCATTCTTAACAATTTAAAACTAATCTATGATTTTAAAATAGCTAGATTATTTTGCTTTACCTTCCATCTTTAAATGTGAGGTAAAACTCAGCAGAAAGGTGGTTACTAAAATGCGAGGTGGTCTGCCAAACAAATAGGCAGGGGAAACCCTGGGCTGAGTGTAGCACACGTGGAGAACCTTTTTGGGCAGTGCACATGATGTGCGCTTTTCTTGGTGGTACCTTTTCTTTCTTTTTTTTTTTATAAGTGCCGGAAATGTTCGGCCTACTGCTTAGTCTCTTGATTGAGTGTGTGGAGCAGTCAGTTTTTACTCCAATTTTTTGGACAATCAATCGGAGTCTACCCTCCCTCACCTCACAAAACAGAAAAAAAGGAAGTAAACTTTGATTGGCTGAATGAATTTACAAACGTGAATATAATGCAGAATGTTAAAAAGAGTTCTGCATTTTCTCAGTAACAGCAAATGCCTACGTACATGTGTAAGCCTTAGCACATATAGTTGTTCGTATATTTGAAAGAATGCATGATGAATCAGCTGTGGTAGGGCAGAGGCTAAGTTGTTCTCAGTCTGGGGAATGTGAAGCCTGCATATTCATGGCATTCTGCGTACAGACCAGACTACCACACTAGTATAATGTTTGCATCAAACAGTTTAGGTACAAGTACCGTCATCTGTGTGCACCATTCTGATATCTTGGCCACGTGTCAGCTCGCATTGAAATTGGAGTTACAGATCTGGTGAATATCTGTAATTACAAAACTTGCCCATTGCTCAAGTACATGTACGTTTGGCCTTGAGTAAGAACATTAAGGCCTGAAGGGCACCATATCCCCCCCAAAAAAATTTGATCCAGTTTTCTTTTCTTGGGGCACCTACCTGTAGCACTGCATTATTGGGAGAATTGTGATGACTAAGTTGGACTCGTTTGTGGACGGCAGGACTGGGTACATTGCCACATCATTTTTCGTCCCCATAATAACAGGCGTATTGCCTCCCACAAGTACATTGTACCGTACATTTTGTTGGTGCAGAACACTGTGTTGCACACACTGTACTTTCATTGTGGTGCTGATTTGTAGGCCCTATTGCCAGTTTTCATCTGAATGTGTACAATTCTTCAATAGTATGTTCACATAGGTGTGGGAATAACACCAACTATATTGGCATTCAAATAGCTGTCTCATCTTTCCTCTTGTTACCAAGTGAGATAACACATGCGTATGGTTCTGTCCATACATGATTGTTTCAAATACCTGTACCTCATAATGCACATATATGATAATTTCTCTTTTCTGGCCTTTCCCATCATATTTTCCATTCAGTAACAGCCCTCCAATTTTATGGCTGGCTTTTTGGTACTCTTGACCTGTTGCCACACATTGCCCCTCTTCATCGTGCTCGATGTGCAAAGTTTGTTTTCCTTGATCCGTAACTGTTGACCTGCCCATTCTATTTCCAGATTGCAGTTAGTGTTAGTTGGTGCTGTACTGCACACCCCTGACTGTGCTCATTAAATGTCTAGTCGTTGGTATGGGCTCCCCGCTGAGAGATTAATCCCTTCCAACCCATCAATCATCTAAACCAATATGTGGCAGTGGTAAGGTTGGACTGAAGTGGGTTTTGTGTCCAGGGTTTCGATTGACCAGGCGTCACCCATCATTTAGCCTGCAGATTTTTGCTGTTGAAATATTCATAGTAAGTCAGTTTTTGTAAACTGCAGAGGTGTTGATGCACTTGTTCATAGTGCATCACAGTGAATGCAAAGACAGTACTGGTATATGTAGGCCAAATTTTGACTGAAGACAGAATGCCAAATTAAAGCCAAAGACAGTACCCATATTATGGCCGAAGGCAAGTAGGCCAAATCATGGCCAAAGACAAGTAGGCCAAATCATGACCAAAGACAGTACCCTAACTATGGCCAAAGACAAG